TGATGTTTACCCTTAGGAATCAAGAATTTTTTAGTCCACAATTTGTCCCTTGTATTCTTATATGGAGATTAAACAGCTCAAAAGTCATGTAACTTCTTAATAACAATATTCAAACTGAACTAAGCCGGGTTTTCCTAGACGCGGAAGAGGAGCGCGGAGAGCGGAAAAGCGATTAACATGGCGTTCCGCTCCGCTTCTAGAAAACAGTAACATAAAATTACCTAAGAAAAGAGGAGTCCGTTCTCCGCGTTCCTCTCTCCGCGCTCCGCTCCGCGCCTAGGACAGCCCAGCTTTAGATGTACGCCACAGTAATGTTTGGGGGGAATCAACAATACTGGATGAGATTAGCCTGGTCCTAAAATAAAACTCTTCTACATCACAAAAATTCAAATTTATGCTTTCATTTTACAATGCTTAGCTACCACATGACTACTTTCTGGCCACAATTTTTAACCTATCCCTTGTATAATAATTATTTTCCTTTATGAATATATGTATAATAAAGTGTACAGATGTATCTCAATAACTTAGAAAATAAGCTGATGTAAATAGATTTATTAATGTTGAGCCTTATTAGATAACTGCTAGGCACCAAAAAGTTGTAATCTTTTAAATTTGCTTTTTTATTCAATAAACCTTTTTCCAAAATGTTATGCAGCATTTAAGTGATACATACCTATTTTATTCCTCCAATTTCTAGTATTATGTTTACCTGTACTTGCTGTCAATTACCAAATATTTGAGCCAAGGTCCGAGGAGTTTTAGGGCTAATGAAGCTCTTAAATATGTACTAAAATTCAGTTTTCCTTTTACATTTTATCTGAGTCACCTCAGTGTCCTCAGTCACTGGTACAAATTGTATCCACTTTCTGCATAAAGTTTAGTACTCTTTTGTCATGATTAGCAACTGGTTTTGAAATTTTTTGTTTGAAATAGATTAGTGCCTAACTTTCTGTTACTATCAGAGCATAGATATAACAATTTTTCTGCAATTAAATAGAAAGTAAAAAACTGTCTTAAAATTATGAAAGTTAATTTTACTTTTATGATTGGCTTAATAGTCAAGATGACTTTAAAACAAACAGTACAGTACTTTAAATACAGTCTTATGAGTCATTTAAATGAAGAAACTTAGCCTTGTTTACACTAATGCTGGAAACAGATATAAAAGTACAAAAATTACTTTTAAATTTTAGCTAATTCATGAACTAAATTAGAAAAAGGGCTTTTATTGATTGAAAAAAGGCTTAAGATGAGATTCCAACCACTGTACAGTACTTATTTAAATTTTATTTTGTGGTGGTAATGATGAAGAGGTCTCTAGCTATTTACATTAACTTTACATATGTAATGTTTTTGTCTTTTTCAAAATATAATATCTAAAAATGTTAATAAATTCCTATCTTGCCTTTATTTAAAACAAGGTTGACATTTTAGATGCAAGATTCTTGAGGTATTTTCCACAATAGTTCAAGGGGTAATTGGGGCAATGTTCTGAATGAAAAATCACTCATAGGGTCCTCACAAAGCTTTTATTTGTTACTCTAGATTCTATCAATTTGATTAGCATCATCAATGAGATGGAGACACCACCTATGTGCATATTTTAGAAGGATTAGTGTAGAAGAATGGTGTCCGCTGGTCTGTGTAGCTTTTTACTGACTAAGATCAGTCATCAGTTGTTTCATCATTTCAAAGCACAATGTCCCAATGATCAAGAACAGCTGGGTCCAGTTTCAGTCAAAAACGTGTGTAGTTTTGGGAATATAGGATAGGTAATCTATATTCTATATATATACTTACTTATTTAATACGCAAGCAGGTTTTTTGTGACAATTACTCCTCCGAAACTACTGAACCGATTTACATGTTCTTGGTGTCATTGGAAAGAGCGTAACGTGAAGTTGTGCAGGAAACTTTCTTTTTAGGGAAATAATTAGTGGGTGAGGCCCTGGGGCCCTTTAAAGTTTCGTATTTCTCCATAAGATTAACATGGGAAACAAATATTGTTATGAAACTCCAGCTGTTGTCAGAAATTAAAAGTGAGAAGAAGAACATATGTTAATTGTAAACAGTCAATAAGTTTGCTAATTTAACAGTTAGTTTGCCACACACATTTACTTACTCGGTTGAAATGAAATAGTTACTATTTGAATTTGGGTTGGCGTAATTATTACAATGGGAAAAAACGAGAGAGCCTGGATAAATTGATATACTAAAAAGAAAACTGAATTAACACTGTGCTGCATTTCTTAGTAATCATTGAAAGAGACGATTTGCAAACTATGGAAACATAGGAAAGTCATAGAACACCACCAAGGGGAAGAAATAGAAATAATGTGTGTTATAAACACTAAAAAACAAAATCAGCTTTTGAAAAATTATAAGATATTTACAAGAAATGTTAATTATATCGATCTGTTATGTACATCTTGAGTATTCCATAATCTTTGAGTCGAATCTTTTATAGTCATAAAAAATATGACTGTTATTCGTTTTAAAATAACGCCTGTAATACTTAGCAATTGCTCGATTTCGAGCAACAGGGACACTAGTTTATTCAAAAACAAAAACTCTGATAAACTTCCCACTAATAATGATTGGAATATCTAACACTACACAATAGCAATTATCTATTGAGGGTCAAGTTTTAAGAGCATAACTCAAACTAATTTTAACAATGCTTAGTTTAGACGGTGGCAGGGGGTAGTGGCGAAATAGCAATAATATTGGAATTGAGAAGGGGAGAAGGCACAGCCCCAAGAATAAGGATAACGACCCAAGCAACTCCTCAAGAAGTATTTATTATCAATCTTTGAGGAGAGGTGGGTGTTGGGTTTCAAAACCCTCTAATGTTAGAACCATATTCTGACGGTAGGACAAGGTACATCGTGTTAACATTAAAATTTAGCTAGAAGGCTATAGCATAGACTAACCTATGTTTTATCTATGGCTATAGCCATAAATCCACATCAGAAAGGCTGCTAGTTAAATTCTAAATACGGATTAATTCCATATCCATTCATAATTGCTCCTATAATTGTAATTACAACGTTAGACTATTCCTTTGCATTTTGTTATAAAGTACCTCTGGCGCTGGCGTTGATATTCACAAAATAAACCTGACGCGACCAAAGAATCACCTTTTTTTTTTGAATTCCTTTTAGTTATTCAAGTTGTTCTAATTTCATTCGATCACTGATGCGCATCACGTGTTGATGTGCAATCTGAACTTAGATCTCCAAGAACTAAAAGAATTCTACAAAATAAAAGCATATATGATGAAAGGTAACTTAAAAAGTTCTTGAAACTGGGTAAAAAAATCAACTTTCAAAGAATCACGCCTGAACTGGACTAGGGACAAACAATAAATACAAACAATACAAAGCATGAATCCTGAACTGAGTTAATTTTGTTCTAGTTCTTAAAGTACAGCGTCATGGTACTAGGGGGAGGGGCTGCTAAGTTCATAGAAAATAGAAATAGAAAGTCGCTAGAGTGCTATGCGTCTGGGGGAGGAGGATGTCGGGCTTCATCATCCTGATCCTTCATAAAAATATAAATAAATACAAAATAGGTATATCAAAAGACGAAAGTATTCTGACAGAATTTTCAAAGCGTTGACTTTTTCGATTTATCTCATATCAAAATATTACAAATGAATATACTTCAATTAATATAGTATGGATTAGGTACAGTAGAGAAAATCGTAAAAGGTTAGGTTAAGTTGGTGGGTAATCAGGAAGACGATATTTCATTGGCCCTGATTTCAATGTGAGAAGAGTCAGGAACAGTGTTCTCAGACGTACGATAATTATCGTTTTGTACGATAATTTAGCCTCCCGTACGATGTACGATACGTCACCGTACGATAATGCTATTTGTACGATAATTTGGGCAATTGAATAGTACTCTTTTACAAAATTGGTTTGGGAGGTTATACCCAAAAATTTGGAAACATTTTTGCTGTTTTAAATCAAAACTCAGTATTTATTAGAGATGGGATATAAAAATCAATACATAAAAAATCAATCTTATGAAAACTATAAGTTAACTGTTAGTATGAATAAAATTAAAACGAAACCATTTCCATTAAATGTGCTTCTAAACTGCTTGAATGCTTCTGCTTCGCTTCTTCTGCTTCTCCTACACCACGAGAAAGTCTGTTACCATAAGAACAGACCTTCCGTACATAATCTCGCCCATTTGGCGAATTATTGGTGTAGTAGTGCACGCCATCGATCTCTATTTTAGAGATCGATGGTGCACGGGTGCACGCACGGCCGCCTTTAACTCCAGGCCTCGGCCTTCAAAGTGGCAACATCACAAGAGGTGTTGTAACAGCTGTTTTGTTTGGAAGTGAAGCAGCTAATGGTATTTGTGTATTAACGAAATATTGGTTACTGGACTATGACAATATTGACTCCGCTTAAAATGTACATAATAGATTTTTAATTCATATTGTTTCGGTTTTCAATTCTGTATGTCTTTTTTTCAATATTTTAATAAATTTATGTTTATAAATTTAAATTGAAATCAATAAAGTGTGAATTAATGAGCTGATATCACCTGTCTGCCATGTTATCTTATGGGACGTCTGTCACTGAACAACATACCACTTGTGGAGATGCCAATTCTACCAGGCCGCGGCCTGTAGTTAAAGGTGGCCGTGAGTGCATGGTGGAAGGAAAATACTGGTGTAGTGTTTGTGTTGAGGTTGAGAAATATTCACATAATATCAGTTACCTACTATGATTACAACGTGCAAAACTAAAAATAATATGGTTTTGTTTTATGGCGATTTTGAGATTTATAATAAAAAAATATATAAGTCTATTAGGTATTTCAATACTCAAGCCAGTTACGATTGTTATTTAAAATTGTACGATAATTTTTCGTGAAATACGATAATTTAGGACCGCGTGTACGATATTTGACTACGGCCAATCTGGGAACACTGGTCAGGAACGTCTGTTTGTCAGTCAAGTTGAATACAAATATTGCAAATGGCTACAGCCTCTACTATGGAGTAATAAAATGTGATGTTATTAATTTTATAATGGAGAAGTTTGCCGTGGATCTTGAAAAGGTTTTGGACGAGTTTGAATATAATGAAGGTATGCTTTTAACTATTCGATTTTCTATTAGATTTGTTCAAGCATTCATGGTTTATCAACAGATATTCAATGTGTTATTTCCCTGTTCCAGAACGAGAAGAAAATATTTCTGTTGCATCAATCAGAAACTCATCACATCCTGCTCTTGGTTTAGGGGCTTTGAGACAGGTATGTCAAATTTTGATTACTTTTGTAGAGAGACGAATTCCCTGCGCCAATTTGGGAATACTAAATTAATGGTTAGACAGTGTAAATTAGGCCTGGTTAGCTTATGACTAAACTTAACTGCACAATAAGTACAGCTAGTACTTTAGTCAATGTTAAATAGCTAGATAATAACATCAGGTAAGTAGGCCTACAAATAAAGACCTATTTCCTCAATTCTTAGCTTTGTCAAGTTTGTGTAGCTTAGTTGGTAACGTGTAGGCCTAATCGGACAGCCAATAGAGTCTGCTCAGTAATACACAAACAAGTTCTAAAAAATTAGAGCATAGGCTGTACAAAAGATTACTTTACATTAATTTTCTTAAGTTAAAAAAAAAACATGAGTTAACTTAGGCCTAGGGGGCCTACCTTGATTAAGCTACTGCTTGAGTAGGCTTGTAGTTGAATTAAACCAGGAAATAACACAGGCCTACCAATCATTTGTTTGTTGTTGTCTGCCCTTCCCTTTTTATCTAGGCCTATTGAAGATAGACCTAGGCTTAATATAGGCAAAACAAACCTAACAGCTGATGTATCTTCAATAAGTTAATCCAAGTTCAATAATTAAATGTCCAAGCAAGATCTTTTCCAGACCCAGATTTCATTTGTCATTGGGCTGAGAATTAATGATGCTATCTAACAAAAAGGTCGACGTTAGATGTAGAAACAAGACCAGGGTTTAGACCATTCCCTTTCAAAACGTAAAAAATTCCACTGGCGTAAAAACACAAAATAAAATAATACCAGTAGGCTATTTAAAATGTGGTTAAAAGCAGTTATTTAATTGAGGTTCCTGCCCTTAGGAGAGGGTTTAGGCAATATAAAAACTGTTATTTTCAGGGAAGTTTCAAATCAAGACATATCATTCTAACGGTTTATGTGTGTGGCTTATGATTTTCTCAAAAGTTGAGATCCGTTTTAGCTTATAATAATACCTATATCTTTATTTTAGGCCTATAGGTAGATGGATAGGACTATTTTTTTATTCATTCCAACGGACATATCCGTTTTAAAACTAAGTTTTTATACAAATCAAAGATGTATAAAACTCAGGTTGACAGAAATATTGAATTAAGCCATGAGATTACAACAGTTTGTTGTTTCATTGCTATTTCAACTATCAGAAATCAGAAATCAGAAACTTTTTATTGCCGTAATTTGCAAGGTACATGCATATGACAAAGTCAACAACAAATGAGGTTCAAGTTTAACCAAGAAAATAAAACTAGATCCGGTAAAACATGAATAGACAAAACATTTGTCTGGGCAGTCATAATTGTACTGTCACCTAAATATATCAAAATTTAGACTACCGTAAAACGGGGTGACTTGAGCCCAAAACGCAAGAAAAAGTTTTGAATTTTCGTTTCAGAAAACCTAAATGATTTATCAAAAGGTTTTATATATCAATTTGAAGGTTACCTAATTAGCTTTCACCACAAACGATTCCAATTATTTTAACTGTCCATTTTAATAATTATAAAAAATAATAATGTTAACACGTCCGAATCTGAATTTCATTACGTTGAAAAAAGGTTATCGGCACAATGGGTATTTGCACTTAAATGAAAATAAAACTATTTTTCCCCATTTCATTATTTCCTTGACAACACAAACATGTTGAAGCATGTTTGATTATGTAATGGTTTAAGTCAGTATGACCTGGGTTTACCTTATTATGACCAAGTTTGGCAGATTTTGGGGTGACTTGAGCCCACCTGTGTTTAAGTGTTACCGTAACGTTTGTTTAGTAATGAAATAAGACACTTTCATTATTTCATGTGGTCTAGTAATTGGAAATGGCCAGAAAAGGTAGATGAGTGCTGGTACAGCAAAGCAGAAGTTAAAGGAAAAATAGCAGCCCCCACACCCATTACCGCCAGAGGATCTTTTGCCGTTCCAGAAGTGGAAAAGTGGCGGTTAATGGACAAATACATAAAGTAGAACAAGTGCTTTTACTAGTGTAAATAGTGTGTAGATAAAAAAACAATTTGTTATTTTTACATTTAGTTAGTCTATTAATGACTGTCAAAATGTCTATTGTGACGTTTTCTATATCAGAGTGACGAATCGGTTCGGATTAACTAGAACGAGATATTGGCAACATTTCATTTACAGAAAAAAATACTTTTTTATATTTTCAAAAATTGCTGGTGGACTTTTTCTGATTAATCATATTCAGATCTTCAATATTTGGTAGGTAAGTAAAATTTGTTAAAATGTTTCTGTAAATTTTTTATAAATTTGTTACAGTTTCGACGAAAACTTTGTGTTTTGTTTTACACTTACCGTCATTAAACCTAAAAAAACAGGAATTTTTAATCTAAAAAAATACCAAAATAGTCAGCTATATATGTGGGTTCAAGTCACCTCATGGGTCAGTGCAGTGGGTCTAGTGCATTAGAATAGCATTGAAATATAATAGCTGGGTTCAAGTTACCCCGACCAACGAGGTGACTTGAGCCCACCCATATTTTATTTTTTTTTTAATAGTTACACTAACTTTAAAAAAATCTTATTCCACACATTTGTAGAATAGACCAAGACTAAGTTTACTGTAAAAGATTTATAAAAAAATACTTAATGGGTTTACTTTAATGAACAAGCAAAGTTCAAAAGTGGGCTCAAGTCACCCCGTTTTACGGTACATACAAAAATTCTATTTCCTAATCAACAGTTGTTTTCTGTAAAACATTGTCTCTGTTTCAGTATGAGATACTAGATATTATTTGCTCCTACATTCTAGCCAAGAAGGCCTATATAAGTTCTAAGCCTACCTGTGCCGCAGCTCTCAATTCCTGTTGCTTTAGATGATTTTTCAAAAAGTTTTAAGGGGGGTTATTCTTTATGGGTTTGGGTTGAATTTGGAATTTTTAAAATCTTTGTTTATAATTAAGTTACGTAACTTAACTTATTCTGATATTGAAAGCATAGCATATACGGTAATGATTGGTCCTATCAAAATATAAATTTATAGTCATAGATATTTGAGTTAAAATACTGTACTAAGTTTTGGTTTAGCATTTTTTTTAAAGCTAAAGCACTTGATAGATTCTTTAGATAGCCTAGGTAAAAATTGATCGATTTAATATACTCGGATACGGTACCAAAGTTTTTCCTCTTCTTAATATTTTCAGTTGTAACTGTTTTAATACCGTAGTAAGTTGGTCCTTTCATTTTCAGGTCCCAGTGGTCAGACCTCCCGCTGCTAGTTATAGAAGACCATCTTTTGAACCAATCAATCTCGCAGATGCCGATTTTGCAGCCTCTCCGCCTAAAACTCCATCTCTTAACTTTAACCTAGGAACATCAGTCACTGAAAGACAAAATGCTGATGAAACCTTTGCTTTTGCTGGGAACAGAGCCCAGTTTAATAATAGAAACTATGTAACAGACAACAAATTATTATCAGCATTAAACAATGAAGCAAATATTAAAAATCAGTTGTTATCAGAATCAGAAGATGAAACCACTAAAGAATGGCCACAACCTCATAGTTCTATTACAAACGATGAAAAACCAGACTTGCTCGAATACAACAGTAAAAACATAGATTTTAGCACCAATAATTCAGAAATCCATAATCAACTTCCTGACATAACTTCAGTGAGGTCATTGGATCACGAATCAAACAACAACCAAAACGAGAATATCGCAAGTTCGTTAGACCTGATATCGTCCACTAGTAGTCAATTTGCTGCTGAAATCAAAGATGTAACACTTTCGAGTGATACTTACGAGTCAGGTAAGTCCAAATACACAATTCTCAGAGAAAATCATCTAAGTGAAAATGGACCACAAAACATTGCTCAATCATATGAAAGTGTAAATGTTCCAGAAAACGAAGAAGTAAACAGTGTGGTTTTGAATCCCAGTGTTTCAGATGTCAGTTATGAATATTCTAGTTTACCATTACATTCAAACATTACACAGGTATTGAACAATGTGAGTGAAAATCCGGAATTGAGTAATATTGTTCCATCAAGTTCACAAGAGAAAGTTAGTGCTTCAATTTCCTACAATGATAACAGGAGTATTGTAGTTACGACTGGAGAAAATCTTGGAAACGTAGAGGTTAACGTTGATAGTGAAAATATTTATAGCTCAAAAACTGATACCGCAGAGTCTCTACAACCAATAGGATTCAATGATTATGCAGATGTTTCGGAAGGTGAGCTGGAGGAATATCTGAAAGATTTGGAAGAAATGGAGGAAACGGTTGATTTCAAAGATTTAATTGTACCTGAAGAGTGTTTGAAAATTGAAATCACCAATAATGCAGAAAATAATCAGATGTCAGTTGAAATGAAGACAGGTGAACGTGGTTTTCCAGATTACGTACCTGTTGAAAGTATCAAAATAAAAGAACAGGAAAACATTGTAAAGGATGATATGACTAATGTTATCTGTGACGTTCCGTCTAAAAATGTTGTAGAAGGGAAATCCTCAATTTCAGAAAGAAGTAAAAATGATATTACAGAAAAATGTGAATCTCCCGTTTATCAGTCGGACGATTTTGATACATCTACTAGCAGTACTCCACTGATATCTGAGAATGAATCAACTAGCGAAGAGGTTGATAAGACTCAGGGTAAAATATTTCTTAGTGAAGTAAAATCAGACGAAAGCCCAGTTAGTGAAAAGATTACATATGTTGATGTTCCTACAAGTAAAGATAATCCTGAAAAAATTAGTACAAATCCATTCTGCAATTCTAATCCTTTTGAAAGCTCTATGTCTAGTAGTAGAGAATCCACAAAGGATGTTGGTGGTGGCACAAATCCTTTCGATGACGAAGACAGCGGCTATATAAGTGAGAAGATGGAATCAAAAAGAAAAAGTACAAATCCTTTTGAAGAAGATGATGATAAAAACATAACCGCTAGCAGTATTTCTGAAACCGAAGATCCTGCCAAGTTGGAAAATCTAAAGGAATGTTTAACTCTTACAGTTTCCAAACCTAAAAGTAAAAACGAAAATGAAAAGGCAAAACTCAATAATTCTGCTTCATCCGCTTCACATAAAGACAAAAGTAAAATAACTAAAGAAGAAATACCGACTGTTGAACCAGTTCGTAAATCTTCTCATACAAATGGTACAGACAAATCCGTAAGCAGTAATTCTGAAACTCAAGTCCCTGCCATGCTGGAAAATCTGAGAATGAACGAATGTTTAACTCTTGAACCCAAAAGTAAAAATAAAGAAAAGGAAAAGGCAAACATAAATAACTCCGCTTCATCCGTCTCACATAAAGAAAAAAGTAAAATTACTAAAGAAGAAGTACCGACTGTTGAAACCGTTCTTGAAGCTTCACATACTGATGAAAATACAGTCAACAATACCAAGGAGTTGAGAGTTCAAAACAATTCTGAAAAGGAGTCTTTACCCAGCACTAGTAGCAGTCAAGAAAATCTTCCTAAAACACTGGGTGGTTCAACTAAAATGATCCCTATTAAAACAGCTACTGAGTCACCTTCAGCTGAAAATGTAGACGAAGCTGGTGTGGTAGCGGAGGAGGAAAGACCTCCGAGGCCGAACTCATTGGAACTTCCAAAGAAGATAACCGTTGAGGCAGCCGAGCCACAATCACCTCCTCTACTATCACCTCCGCTGTCACCACCTATCACAGGTAATTCACTTTGGTTAACTTATGAATTTGCTCTGTAATAATCAAAATTTCTAAATCCACGATTAATGCCCAGTAGTCTTGATTAAATTTTAACTTTGACATCCTGTGAGCTTTGCCTGTTTTACAGTTAATTATGAAAATTAATTTGGTTATAAAAATAAGTCATTAAAATCTACTTCAGAAAACAGCTGTAAGTTTTACTATTTATTTTAAAACAAAAATATGCATCATTTAACATATCCCGTTCTGTCCTTCATTATTGGGCTTATGATAATGGCCTTGGCTGAAGAAATAGCTGATTTTAGTCTGTTTAATAAAATTACACAGATCACTCCCTTCTTTACTCGCCCAGCTTTCATAATTAGCTTAAAATTTATTAGGCTAACAAACCACTTTGTCCAACCAGTCTATTTAATTTGTATGAATCAGCTCACTGGGATTGTACAATTAAAGTAATGTAAAACTTCACTGTAATTTTTTACCCCACCTGAGAACGAGAACTTAGTTTTAAGATCAGCGATGAGACGGATATATACAGTTGCATATAAGATACATGACTTGGCAGGCATGTATGGGACAGATTCTCAAAGATTTGTGGCAATGGGATAGATGGTTTGTTACCTTTAAGCCTAGCCTAATACATAAATCTAACCCAAAACCCTTATAATAAACATTCATAACAGTAACTTAAAATTCCTTAGAGGCTAATGACAATCTTTGATTTATCCTCTATAAGAGCAATATTAATTGTGAACAGCCGCTGAACAGTAGTTATTTACCATCCCAAAATATTTGTTGAAATATTGTGTGTCTGTGTGATTGTAATTTATCTAGGGAGCTATGAGATAAGATATTTCATTTGTAGTTTTGCTAATGTTATAAGGGTTAACACGGCTAGTCGTTCATTAGAGGCTAGACTCCAAAGACTCTTAATATGCCTTTGGTAAGATCGACGTATTGAAAATAGGTCTTCTACTTATTAGTACCTTTGGCAGATTTTTGATATCATTACGAGTGTTTAACAAAATAAATCCTGCCACAGGCCAGTTGGCAAGAGAGTTCGGCCCCGAGGACCGACGGCTCGGCAAGATTCCTCCGTTCTGGGTGCCTGACACAGACGCACTCTCGTGTATGCAGTGTCAGCAGAAGTTCACCGTCATCAAGCGACGACATCACTGCAGAGCATGTGGCCAGGTAACACAACAACCTCTAATTCTAACTTAACCTTAAGCTACAAAAGAGTGACTTGTTTTTTACACACAAATAAAATTTGACCATTAAATTTTCTAATTAATCTAATATTTATGTCTATGTTAGTGTCAGGATTTTAATTTATTCTTGTGTTGTTTGTAAAAAATCAGTTTTTTTGTGTTTGAAGTTTATCAATCACATATTTATTTATGTTATGTCAGAACCAAGAGCCAATCTCTTGCAAGTTTTGATTGCTTAGTAACATAGCCTCCACTAATACAAGACCGTGGTGAGACAAAAGTGGCGACACCGCTGTCCTGGCAAACCAAAACAGCTGTTGTGCTGTAATTTATGATTTAGCGTACATGTGCAGTGTTTATGTTTAGCCTACATGTTTGTTATTACTTTGGCAATTGGCATGCAAGTGTGTCACGGCAGCCTTGTATCATAGGAAGCTATAATAAACATTTTTTGTTGTCTCCTTGAGCTAACTAAGAATGTTTCGCTTTGGGTTTCGAGATTCGATTAAATTTTGGTTTTGAGATTTAAAATTTTTGGCTATTATGTACAACATATGCTTAAACAATTTTAGTTACTAAGTTATTAAATTTTATCGCTTAAATGCAAATGCAAGGTTTTCTAACACTACCGGTATTTGCTCACCGTCTTTTTCTTGTTTCTAGGTATTGTGCTACAAATGCTGTTGTAATAAAGCGAGGCTGGAATATATGAACTTTACAGAAGCAAGGGTTTGCCATCCATGCTTCACTATACTAGAAGCCTGTAAGTTGAATGTAACAGTTTTACTTTCTTTCTTTTTGGTCCAATTATCCAATAAAAAAAAATATTTATGGTAGAGTCAACTCTTATCTAAGAAAATTAAATCCAGATGCTTAAAGATCTGCAATACAAGTTTACAATACATAACATTGGAATTATCCTGGTGTAGGGCTTTCAAAGAGTCGATAGAGCTTCAATTTTTAATACTACTTTTTTAAGGTAAACTAGCTCTATCCCTAAGACAACTCCTCATTCCGCCACTTGTAGGTTCCCGTTGATAATAAATGAAATACATACATGTTAGTATGCGTAAAAAGATTCTCTCTTCACGGAGAGGTATTAAAAATCCATTGAAATACTGCCTCATTTCAATTACAGTGGAACCTCAATAACAAGACCCTCGATAAAAGTCACCCTTTATAAAAAAATTTCACTTTCAAATTCCCTTCAATTTATTTGACCCCTAATCACATTTTATTGCAAACCTCGATAAGAAGTCAACGTTGATAACAAGTCTTATTTAACTACCCCCTGAGAGTCTTTGTTATTTAGGTTCTACTGTAGTTAAATCAGGCAGCGGAAAGCAAAAAGACAGCACTCATTGACCTGCTTCATAATATTTGATTATGCTTCAATATTTTCTACTCCATCAATTAAACAATCTAAAACTGATTTTATTAACTTGGATTAGATAACAACTGGTTAAGTCCAAACAATTACTTATATAATCTCATAAGTAACAAGCCTAAAATTATCTGGGCATTCAACCAGCTTTTCTCTCTATTAAACATGGTGTTGTTTTTGTAAAATGCTTTTCAACCGTACTATTCATAGTCTGACAGACTAACAGTTGTTTACCAATTTGTCAAGGCTATGTTTACACAAAGACTCAACTCTAAGTGAATACAATTGGGTTTGGTTGATAGAACCAATAGTGAGTCGTGCTACAACACTTAATGGAATTAATTGTAAATTAATGACGGTTGATAAATGAGTTACCAACATTTGGTGTTATCTAGCCAGCTTAGTTGGGTTTTAAGCTTTTATAACTGTCCTAAATTGAGACAGAATTGTTTTTGTACATTTAGTTGACAAACAGTTGAATAAAATATACACCATTGTTTCTATCTATTTAATGAAACTGAATTGTTTATGATAAGAAATTTTAGCTGTTGTAAATAAATTCTAACACCCTTTAAAAAAATAAATTTTTTGGAGATGTTGTGTTATATTATGTTGCCTAGTTTATTCAGTGTTACATACTATGTGTTAAATTGATTTTCAGAATTAATGTTTCTACCTCTTTATTGATTTGCATTAGCATAAAATATCAATTTATCCTAAAACTTTGCATCAATTTGTCGTTACTAAATATTTTGTGTCTTCACATTGGTTCCCGCAATTATACAGGGCGATTGATATAAGTGTGCCAGCCGTTTTATTCAAAAACTATAAGAGATATCAAAAAAAGTTAAATAGCAAGTGCCTTGGATTTTTTATTTAAAAAATTGTCAAGTAAAAAAAAATATTTTAGCCGCCATTTTTTATTTTTCTTATGGAACACCCTGTATTTTATGATGTATTCCGGTAGAAAATGTGATTTTAAGACAATTTTATTCTTGTCATTTTTTTCATAAACCTAACCGTTTCATAGATAATATTGGTTAAAGTTTTGAAATTTCTGCATGAGAAAGAATTTCGATAAAGACCTAAGCAAGCATGCCAGCTGTTTTATTAGAAATCCATTCAAAATTTCACAACTTAAACCATTATTATCTTTGAAACGGTTAGGTTTATGAAAAAAATCACAAGAATAAAATCGTCTTAAAATTACATTTTCTACCAGAATACATCATAAAATACAGGGTGTTACATAAGAAAAATCAAAGTTGGCAGCCATATTCGAAAAATGGCGGCTAAAATAATTTTTTTGACTTGACTACAATTTTTTAAATAAAAAATCCAAGGCACTTACTATTTAACTTTTTTTGATATCTCTTATAGTTTTCGAATAAAACGGCTGGCACACTTATATCAATCACCCTGTATGTCTGGGCAGGTGGAGACTGGTATTGTGAAGTCTGATTCCAGGGGGATAAAAATTATCATAAGTATGGATTTGCTTTACTGATTAGCTTGTGGTCCCTGGAGTAGCTTTAAAGGATCTTTTTTTTATAGGTCATAAACTTTTGCTAAGAAGGCTAAAGGTTTAAAGCTTCTTGTTGGACATAAACTCAACTTTGCAGATATGAATTTGTTTCTTTTCTTTAGGGTTATCATTTTCATGGGTTTTTGTTTGGTTGCAGTGAACGCTTCGGAGGCGTCTAGTCCTCTTGGTCGTCAGCCAAATCCTAACAACCCCATGGAGTATTGCTCCACTATACCCCCGCTGCAGCAGGTTGCGGGATCACTCCATCAACCTCCGCCCAGCGTGATGGTGCCAGTTGGAGTCCTCAAGCGAGAAGGTAACTTTTTTCATATAGTGAAAACTGTTGTTTTTAATACATGCTCATGGGTCTAAAGAGGTTTTTAAAATACCTAGGGTTGAAGATATCAACTATACATTTTTCTTAAAATAATTCATTCCATAACTATTATGAAATTTTAGTTCTGAAAAAAAAAAATTGGCCCATATTATTGTACATTTATAATGTTCTTGTTTTTATCAATGTGTCAATAGCATATTGCATTACAGTACAAAATACCATACCACACTAAAAAAATTGATTACACTAATTTAAAATTGTAAAAAATTAGTCCAATCTGATTTTATTACTGCATTGGATCAGTAATAGGTAAGTAATAACTGTTGCAAAAAGTAACAGGGTAACATATCTTTGTGAATGCTAGCAAACCAATGTAGAAACTATTTGGTATAAAATGTACAATGTTTGTAGGTAGGAGCAGGTCAGAAGTGACGAAACAGGTGATGTTCAGCGATGGGATTAGACCCGGAGGCGATCTGACTGAGTTAGACGGCTCGTGTGAACCGAGGATGCCTTTCCGTCGACCTGGTCGACTCACTAAACGAGTTGGTACCCCTCCAGGTAAAATTTTGTCACAAATTATAGAAATATTTTATATTTAGAAAAATGATAACACTGTAATTTCAATTGTTGGTCTAGTACAACTATTCCTTAACTTGTAGGCTCAAGTTATATTTTATTTGAGGTAAGGATGTCTGCTGTAGTAGTTACCCCGTAAGACTTCTGTCTGTGGTTGACAGTCGGGTTCAAATTCAGCCAATGGCCAATTGTTTTTTTCTTTGTGATAATTACATTTTGTATTTATCTAATAATTACAAAAACTATCCACAGGTGGGGTTGTTTCACCGTCCATGCGTCGGGTGCTCGACCCGTCCACACTTAGCTTCATCCCAGCCGAGGGCGACTCTAATCTACCTCCGATGGTGTCCAGGGTGCAGGGCGAGATCACATTCTCTGACCTGGAGACGCCCATCGCCCTCAACCAGCCTAACGTCAAGTTTGCCATCAATCGCAACCTGTTTGTCATCCTCAAACGGGTCATGTGTAAGTGGAAAGTGTTTACGTTCTTGATAAATATCCTTGACTTGCAAGGCTATTTCACTAAGTTTGTTCTATATAAAATTGATATTTGTCAATTTTGGGGTAAATTTAGGGTAACTTATTTCATTTGACGATCAACCTACCGAAAGCCTTTTGTTTTGATTCCTTCTCAAAACTTTAACAATTTATTCCTAAATTGTATGATTTTAGGATAAGTTTTTTGTAAGATTCATATACCTTACATGCCTATATCAGTTTTATTTCAAGAAATCATCACATATGAGTTGGGTACAAACATACATTATTGTCATAGGCCTAGATATATTGTGTCCGATGTTTTGTAGGACCCAACAATTTTTGCTTCCTCAGAGTTGTCATGATTTTTTTAATACTGAGGGATCAGGACGTTAGTATCCTCCAAAATGTTTTACTTGTATATCTAGAATGAATGTACGTTTTTATGTTTTTTTTTTAATGTATGATTGTACTTGACGAGTCCTGGATACAAAAGCAATAAAGAAATTTAAGTGAAACTTACAAAAACTTATCTAGGCCGACATTTATTTTCTGTACATTCACTTCAAAAATAGTCAACTAACACATTTGCATTTTCTAATGTGGGTAAAACCGAATAGAAACATGATCTGAAAAGCGTCACTAGCTAAGTTGCAGCCTACAATGCAGGTCCTAAATGATGTTTTCCTACGTTTCAGTGGACTGCTGTGTGAACCGAGAGTGCTGGTGTTTCAGCACGGAGGGTCTCGCCTGCGTTGGTCAAGACGAGATCGTGTTCCTACTAGAGTGTCTTCCCGAGGAATCCCAACCCCCCAAAGATATTTTCCTGCTAATCAACAACCTGTATCAAGAAGCGGCTAAAGGTGTGATTGTGTTCTGTTTTACAAACATAACTCAATAAGTTAACTTTTTTTAACTACACAATACACTTTGGAATATGAGATAACTTACTGATAATTACGATTTAAGAAGCAAAGAGGGAGCAAAAAGATTAACCTGCACCAGGACCACTCACATCGTGTGATAGGCCTAGCAACAGTATTAAATTAATTTTCGTATCGTATTTGTTTATTTATTTGTGTGGGTGTGACAGATATGTCGTATATATGTCACCCTGACAACGCCCCATTAATGCCAAAATATATTTAGATCATTCAACTGATCTCTACAACAAGTTGGATTACATGACGAGTTAAATTGAACCATAATATTAACTTGTCAAAGAGCTGTTTTTTTTTGTGCAAATAAAACAAATTCGCAAGCAATTAGCTTAGCCCAGGTTAGAATATAAATATCAGTTATTTTCCTCTCTTTTCTAATCTAAGTTTGTGTAGTATTATAGTTATTCAAACTGCTCAAGATAAGAATCTTGAAAGATCCCTACTGTTTCTTGCCTAAACATCCTCACTGTTACTTGCCTAAGATCCTCGCTGATTCTTCCATAAATTTTCTCACTAATTTTGCCTAAACATCCTTACTGAATCTTCCCTAAACATCCTCACTGAATCTTGCCTAAACATCCTTACTGAATCTTGCCTAAACATACTCACTGAATCTTGCCTAAACATCCTCACTGAATCTTCCCTAAACATCCTCTGGTTCCTGACTAGTTCCTGAGCCAGGATGGTTTGTCAAGGACATTGTTGTGCGTAGGGTCTACAGTCAGTGAGATGTCCTTCACGCCAGCCACCCCCAACATGCTCGGCTCTAAGGACCACGGGGGGTTCCTGTACATCAGGACATCCTACCAGTGTCTGACGCAATTGGTGCTGCCCAACCCCCCTTACCTGGTGGCACTGCTTATAAACAGGTATTTTATTAGCTTTTTTAAAATAATGTCTTCTATTACAACCCTACCTATGTGGCCATTTAGACCTCAGTAGGCTTTTGGCCTCACCAACAAGTAGCCACATTCCTCTGCCTTCCAGTCATAGCTTTCCTGTCTTTTCGCACCTGGTCCTGCCATCTTTGCCAATGTTGTCATTCTGGCCGTTTTCCCCAAGGGACATTTTCAGACTCCATTTTTTGTATTTCGAATCTTCTTCTCTTAACAACATCCTTAATCTCAGTCTTCTACTTTTTATTTGCCCTACTAGTAGTAGAGGTCAGTAAGATGTCTCCTTGTTTAAGAGAATCATCATTGATACCTAAAATATTGATTCGGCAAAGAACGCTTGATGATTTGGGGGTTTGCCTAGGTGGGAGACGCCATGGGCTAGACTGTTCCCGCTGAGGTTGGTGCTAAGGCTAGGCGCTGAGTTCCGCTACTACCCTTGTCCTCTGGTGTCTGTGCGCAACCGACCTCCGTTGTACACTGACATCGGTCACACCATCATCAACATCTTGGCTGTAAGTTTAATCCGCAGTGTATGTTTAGTTCTAGTAGTATCTGTAAACCTTAATATGATTTCATGTGAGAAAAGATATATTTTTATTAGAAGAGTAAGTATTGAGTTTTGATGTGACCTAAAATTTTAAAGAAAAACTGAATATCTTTTTTTGTCATACTGCAGCAAAAACAGCTGTTTTTTAATGCATGCTTTATGGGTCTAAAGTAGCATTTTTAGTCTCTAGGGAGTAAAAATCAGCTGTTGTAAATTTTGACTGTGGCAATCGTATTGATCAAAATTATTTATCAATTTATTAGGTAAGGTTTTAGCCTATTGTTGTCGATCGCTCATTGCACATGTTGCAAATGTGCACTATTTAAAAGAACATGAATAAGTGAATAGGTATAAAATTCTGTAGCTTACGATCCATGTAGCCTACCTGTTTTATTTAGATTTTTTCTTGCTGTTAAAATTGTTTGTAAAAATTTGTTTTTAACGCACAATTTTTTACTTTTATAAATCTTATGAGATTGAATAATTAATTTTTCCAGGACTTCCGTAAATACTCGTACACGTTACCCAGCGTGAGGGGTTTGGTGATTCACATGGAGGATAGACAGACCACAATCAACATTCCTCGGAACCGATATGACCAGGTGAGTCTAATAACACCCTAAAACGCTTTCTATCCGCACCTCGTTAATCTGAAACCCAGGTTAACAGAAACCATCATAAAATCAAAATCAATTAGAAAATGATCTAGATGAAGAGAATTGTCCATCATTATGTGAATAGCTTGTATGGCATGGCCAATAAAATGTAATTTTTTTTTGTCCTAGGACGCTAGGCACGAGCCTGGGATTGTTTTTCACATTATTTCAGGCTAGACCTAGAGGTTGCGGCATTATCACTTAGAGATATAATCCATTGGTGACTTTGCGGGGATGGAAACAGGGGACTGAAGTCCCGCGCTCTAACCACTACACCAGCTCGCTACCCCACAAATAAAATGTAATGGAGCAGATGGTGGTGACATAGATATATTTCAGAAAATAATTGTAAATTATTTCAAGAAATACTTTTTTCTATAGCCTGCAGTGAAAGATTATGAGATGTCAGCAATTGATATAACATAAAACTAATATTGTTCACCTCTTTGAATACACATAGTCATTAAATTTTTACAATTCATTACCCAAAAATAGTTCATCCAAAATTGGGGTTTTAGTTTAAACTAAACAAAACCGTTATGGCTATTAAGCTATTAGTTTCTTTTTAGGATTTATGTCAGTGTTCCTCAACCAAACAATATCGGTTGAACAGGTTGTCCGAGCGTTGAACAACTCCAACGACAGTGTGTTGGCGTTTGGTGCCAATCTGAGTCTAGCGGCCGACTCACACCTCGTATGTATGCAGACTGCGGAGGACGAGAACACTGCGTACACCACGCAGGCTATCAACATTCACAACAAGCCTCGTAAAGGTCAGGGTAAATTCTTGACTTTTTACTAATATAGGTTTAAATTACCTGTTTTTCTGTCAAAACGAGGTTTCTGACTACAGCTGTTTCATGCTTTTCAAAAATAGCACATCTTCAGGTCCAGAATGTTTTGCTAATCCCTCATGTAGAGTTCGTCAAAAATATAAACAAATAAATAAACGGGACACACATACAGATATGACACACACGAAAATATATTTAATAAACTGGTCGACCAGACGCTGATTCACGAGACACGGCGCCGGTGGAAGGTAAGTCGCGACTCACAACTTACTTCCACGACTTACCTTCCACCGGCGCCATGTCTCGTGAATCAGCGTCTGATCGACCAGTTATTAAATGTATTTTCGTGTGTGCCATATCTGTATGTGTGTCCCGTTTATTTATTTGTTTATATTTTTGACGAACTCTACATGAGGGATTAGCAAGACATTCTGGACCTGAAGATGTGCTATTTTTGAAAAGCATGAAACAGCTGTAATCATCATACTACTAAACTGATCGTTTTGACAGAAAACAGGTAATTTAAACCTATATTAGTTTACTCAGACGATCTAGAGGCCATTCCATCGTGAAACTTGACTTTTTGTCCAAGTCTTTTCATCATGGCATTTTATCTTTATATCATGTAAATCATTGGTCACTTTTACTGTTGATAAATATCTTTTAGACAGACCTGGAATTATTTTGTTTTTAAATTTATACTGAATATCAATGTAGGATACTTGTTGAGTAACAAAAAAATATATATATATAAAGATAAAATCGGCAGGAAGTGACGTCATCAAGTTATGGGACCCCGGTCACTCATAAGTACCGAGGAAGTTTCCACAATGAGAGATGCCGGTGTTCCATAAGCACTGTTGAAGTCGTTCACTAATTCACCCACTAATAATTAATTCAAATCTTTCACAAACGTGCCATCTATCTATATATTAATAGGCAAGCATGTTTCTTTAAAACCTTTTTTCTCAGCTCGTGTGCATCGTAGGGAAAATCTACGCATACTGTTAGAAAGCTATTTTCCTGTAGGTGTGCAGAATCCCTATATAAATTAAAATAGGCTCAAAAATAAGCACAAAAAATGAATTTAAAATTTTGAAAAATTTAACATGGATATTATGAGTTGCCATGCTGGTGACGAAATAACAACGAAATATAAACAGAAAATCAAAACAAATGGAAGAAACTTCAATCACATGTTCTATTCAAAGTGTGGAATGAAAATAAAGAAGTCTGTACATTAAATATTTTTGGTCGAGTTTCGACCACTGGACGACCTCTAGTATTTAACTATTATATGTTAAAATTTGTTATATTTACTACCAAAGTACAAGACACCTACTTTTATAAAAATAAAGATGTGACCAGACGACAGATCCCGCTAGCGTATAACGGATTGTACAAAGCAAACTGAAAAGAATATTTCTAAAACCCTAGCAAAAAAAAGATTACACATTTTCTGGTCTTGAACATTCGTGGTTCTCTAATAATTCTGTCACTGTAAATAAGTTTATTTATTAATAAATCATGATTTTAATTTTTCTAATTTTTTCTTTGAACCAAATAGTTACTCTTCCCAGAAAATTGTAAACCACTCTGTTTTTAATCATTGTATCTGCTAACCTTTTCTGCAATCGAAATTACATCCGGAATTCAGAATTGAATCCACAAGTTTAATATCAGAATAGAACTATTTTGGAATCGGTTACTCCAATACTCACAAACTTGTAATCTCTGTTACAGTGACTGGGGCCAGTTTTGTCGTATTTAACGGTGCCCTCAAAGTGCCAGGGTTGGCGGGCAAGTCCAACATCGTAGAAGATGGACTGATGGTGCAGGTGCCAAGTGAGACGATGACAGCTCTCCGGACCGCGCTGCGTGACATGCGCGACTACACCATCGGCTGTGGACCCAACGCTGAGGAGACAGTCGCCTTGCTGTGGACTGCAGATGATACCAACTTCAACATTGGGTGAGTAAACGCTTTGTTGAAGGAAGAGTGAGCTGGTTCATATTCGGCCCAAATGTTCAATTATTGGTTAAATATAATTGTATACTATTTATATCGGTAGGCTAATTATATTTAATATACTTTTTATTTCGGCAGTGCTAAACCAGAGGGGAGTGCAGTTTTCTCCCAGAGGGGAGGTAACTGCCCGGTGTCAGACCCGGCACTTCAGGTAGACCACAGTTATGGACGACTGGTAAGCGCCAGCCCCTTAGGGGGAGCCTCCAGTGACATTCCCTCCATTCAGGGTGGGGGGGGTGTTTAGCTCTCAGTGACGCCGTTAATTCCGCCTCTCCTCAACTACCTGTAACTGTGGTTGTGACTGAGTCCTACCTGTTGTGTTCGACTGACATTTTGTGAGGCATATCCTCGACTTTGGAAGTAGCCTCGTCCTGGGAGGTGAAATACCTAGCCCCCAGAGGGGAGGTAAATGCTCCGTGTTGGTATCGGCATTTTCAAGTTGGCCACAGACATGGTCGACTGGGCATCGGGTCCCAGTGACATTCCTTTATCCAGGATGGAGGGGTGTTTAGCTCTAGGAGAGATGGAAGTACATCATAATCTCTAACCTACCTGTGTCTGTGGTACTTTGGGCTTCGGCCTGCTTGTGGTGTGCGACCAGCATTCAGTGGGCAAATCCTCGACTTTGGAAGTAACCTTTCCTGGAGGTGAAAACGGGCAAGTACCCGCAGCTCACGGGGACACTCAAGGGCAACGTAACTTTCCGCAGTGTGAGGGCAACGGTTTGTAGGTACTTATGCAAACCTATCCCTGTCTCTGAGCACGGACGGTATGGTTATCTTGAGTGTGGGGGGTTCTTCCCGGAACCTCAATTGAGTCAAGGGTGTCGCCACCTCTGGTGGATAGGTTCATCCGGGTGGGTCCCACTTCTATACCTGCCTCCTTTTGGGAAACCCTGATGGCCTGGCAGTGATGTTGGGTCTGACGGGCAAACGAAGTAGATCGGGTGCTGGGTCCGAGCCCGCCGGGGGTATCTGGGGATCTATCGCTCTGGATATCTCTGGTTCCCAGCAATGGGTCAGGCCTCGATCGGGCAGCGGTGTAAATGGGAGATTGGGGTTCCCCCCGTCAGCGTGCTGATGGTCCCCTTCCTCCTGGCTATTGATGGCGGGTTCTGCCTGTCAGGGATGAGATAGGTCCCGAGTGTTGCTTGCACTAAATGCGTCGGGGCGCTCTACTATGGACCTCTAGGTTCCGACCTAGTGGAACCCAGGTGGAGTGACGCTTAAACAAGCAGCCGGAATCCCTGGTTAGGATTGAGGGGCAACCTTCTTTCCGAAGGGTCTGCTTCGGCAGCCGGCGAGCCTGATGACCTTAAGTCATCCGCCCGTGATGTGCTAAAGGTTGATGCGTAAGCTTCGGCCTACATCATGGGGCCCGGGTATGTCCTGAAGGATAGGTACCGGGTAAGCAGTCAGGGGGCTTCGGCTCTCATGACAACAAATCTAAATCTAAAATCTAAGTGCTAAACCAATGAGAGATTTTAGTAAGGTCATTGTAAACCTATTTATAATCTGAAATTGGAATGAAATCCAAATAAACTTGCGCTTCATGTCATTTCCAGAGTGAAAAGCAGTATAGATGGGAGGCCTTTGGATGGAGTGCCTTCTATTAGAGTCCACAACGGGACGGACTACTCTGGCGGGACTCGTATTATCAGATGGACGGAAGTATTCATTCTGCAGGTAATCTAATTGTTTTGATTTTGAGAGAACAGAAATGTTATATTCTATATGAAATAGTCAATAATGAAATTTCAAGGGGTAGAGTTCAGCTAGCTTACCTGGGAAAATTGGAGTATATATTTCAACTGAAGGTCACAAATAATGCCAATTTTCCCAACATACGACTTTTTTTATATAAAATCTTTTCTAATATGGCCTCAGTTGGTAGCACTGATGATTTCTCTAGTCTTGAACATTATCTGACATTTTCTGAAATTTCTGTTCAATCCACTCTCTGAAGAAGTACTTACTCCTTGTGAAGACGTTAATTTATCTCATGGTCATAGGTATCTTGGTGAGTGTGATTATTGTGCTTGGAAAGTTCTTAATATATTTTATAGGTTATCCAACTATACAGTTGTATGTTTTCAGTGTGATGACTCTGAACACTCGAGCGAGCCTCTAGACATCAGTAGACTGTCTGAGTCCATCGCCCGAGCCACCTGCCTTGCCCTCGTGCCGCTTCTGGACCTGTTGTCTGCCGCTTCGTTTTCTACATTAGCTGTACGGACAACGATACATCCAGACAATGTAAGTCTTGCAGTCATATCGTTAGAAGGCTTGAATCCAGTGTTAAAAGTTATTGCCAGTTTCAAAAGAAAGTTGAGCCACCGATTGTGTTGATTAGAGTTACTGACATTTGTCGAATATGCCAACTTTTTTACCAAACTGAAAAACTCTCACTAACACACTCTGTGAGAGAGGGTTATCAAAAATTTTTTTATAAAACTGGCTTAAATTTAAAAAAATATAAATTCAATTAGGCCTGCAATTAACTGTAGCCCAAACTTGTACTTATTTAGTTTAACCATGGATAAAACTATGGATAGATAATAACTCTTGGTAGATTTGTCAACCTTATGGATCAGCTGAAGCCAATTTGATTGTTAGTTCTGTACGTCGCACTTCGCACTGTAGAGGTTGTGTTTTGTTTACAATTTGTTTCTTGTAATTTCAGTACCGTAATTTAAAACATCGTTAAACCAAAACAATCTAATCATAAACAATGACTGGTCTCTTAGTTATATAACCAAACAGTAGAGCACAAATCATGAAAATATCCCTACAATAATATTAATAAAATTTTGTCTACACTAGCGATCAGTGTCGATGCACATGAAGTAGGCCTAATCACAAAAAACAAGCTTCAAAATTTACAATGGGATGAGAAATCTACTTGTGGTGCTTAGTCTATGGTTTTACTGACAAATAATCAATCACAGGATGTAATCTACTCATCATTAAACACTACTGGGCTAAATAAAGACCACAACCTGAAAGACGCGGATTTCCGGTAATAGCAAAAATGAAAGTCTAGTACTGTCTACACGTTGGTAAATCACTCATATGGGTGTCAGATTACAGAGTCAGACTATCAGCTGTTTTTGAGTACCAACTTTTAACAAAAGTTTTCTTCTGTTTTTGTGCAGGTCGGTTATGAGGCTGGTAGCAATGGTGAGAAACTTCCCCCACTCTACATGAAGAGTCTGGACGAAGAGTTGATTGCAGTAGTCCATCAGGCAGCGCTGGCGTCACAAGACAATCCGTGCGTGCTGGAACTCGTCTTTAGGATCATGGAACAAGGGTAGGGTGTATTTCTCAACTGGGTTTTAAGTCCCGTTTTTAAAACTCGCTAGGTGCTCAGAGAAAATATTTCATCCCTGGATTAGTTTTTAAATTCGTATTTTATAGTCAGTCAAACTATAGTGAGTGAACTAGCGTTCTCAATATGTCTAAGCCTCTGCTTTAAAGCAGATTTGTCGAGAATTCGGGAAGAAGAAAGTACAGTAACATGAAGAGATTAATATTACAACATGCATTGTTTAGATTGTAGATTGAGAAGTTTTGACAGTATTGCAAAAACGTTTTCGTGTTGTAAAATGCCATGTTCTCATACTGGTTTTGTTTACTAACAATTTTATCTTTCGAAATTCAATATTATCGTCAATCAACCTTATTTTAATGATAAATCTGTACAGAAAACATTTTCTATTGATATAATGACTTCAATGCTTTAACAATGTCCGTTCTAATATGAATTGCCTTCATAATCTCATTAAGAGGGAAAAAAACTACTGTACAGGTAAATTTATTTAAATTTGCTATTTTTAGGTTAAAAATACTATCGATTATTTCCCGTTACTTTCTTATTTACAGCTTTAAGCCATTTGTAAAATATTTAGTATTCTAGTTACCATATGTTAAATATTGATCACAAATATTGCATACATTAACTCTTTACCATATGTTTAGTATAAGGTTAAACCAGTGCACCTCTTTATTGTTCAATTAAAAATTTGATTAGAAGAGGAAAATTTATTATTAAATAGACTACATATATGGAAGCTAAATAATCATTCTTCAAATCTAATTTTTTAAATCAAATGTGTATGTCGTTGAAAATGTTTATTATGCCTACATTTAAGAATTAGTTGGATAATTTAAATTTCTAACTTTATTTTAAAGCTAGTTTTGTTTTTAAAATCATTGTACAGAAGGTACGTCAGGTTTAGCTTGATCATTTTGTACTGAAAGGATTGTCGTTTGGTAGTAGATCTTGGTCCGGACCAAATTAAATAAGCCTTTAGAGTTAAGAGTAGATTGAATAGTCTTAGGTTAAGTTTTTGTTTTAAATATTGTTAAAGATTTCTGGGCAGCTCTAAGCTTTATGAATTACGTTTATCACCAAATGTGTGCCGTTTTCAATCACGATTTTATGTGACAACTTGTTATATTTATGGATGCATATAAAAGAGGTATCAGTTGATTAAATCATATTTTTTCATTGTTCCTTCCAGGAATGAACACTAATATGGAAGGCTACTTTTTTGTAACATTTTTTATTGAAGGAATGGATTTGTCTTAGGTTTGTGGCAACGAAATGAGGTACAATTAGTGTTTGAATTTTGGACAGTAATATTTCATCCAAATTATCAAATCTGGTTAGCCTTAGTGCATAACATAAAGGTTTTTACATCAGGTAATTTCCTTATTTAAAAGAAATGTTTTTAGTATTAATACCAATAATTTATAAATTGATGTTGACATTTGAAGTGAAAACCTAAACAAAATGTTTATGGGAAACAATTATTCAAATTTACACACTATCGGAAAAGGATATTTAAATTGGTTTATGTGTACCTCATTACATTCTTGCTTGGAACATTGTTATAGAATTGCAAATTAACTACCTTTATTTTGCATTATCACAAATTTAGTTTTCGATTTTGGATGTAGCATCTCTTTTTCTATCAACATTAATACCCTTAAATTAACTTGCTCATTTTCAACAACAATTTTCACAACAAATTACAGCTTTAAATTTAATTTTAATCTAGGTATTTAGATTTAAATATTATGAGTTATGCATTGTGAATATAATTTTACATCACGAGTAATTTAAAATCTCAGATTTAAAAAAAAATTGATAAATATTTTGAATAATTGTAAGTAACAAAACAAATAAACTACCATGTTATTTAACCCGAAAATTGACACTGGCTTAATACTTAGGGTTTATTACTAAGTAATATTTTCATTACTGAAATAAAATGTCCTATCCAATTGTGAAGATTTTAGGCAGGATCGTTATTGTTCTTTTGCTCGTTTTATGAACTGTTTTATATCAATATTTTATCTGTAGTGTAAATAATTATTTTAATAATTTGCTAAAATTAGATGCCTTACTAATGTGATTTAAAATTAATGTTTTTCGGGAATTTCCTCTCGGCAAGAAACTTTTTATCTTGTATATATCTCTTGTATGAGTTGAACCTTAACTACGAAAGGAAAAGATTGTGGATTAAAATTGGTGATCAGGTTGTTAACTATGTAAAAGTAATGTCACGTTAGTTTTATAAACGAGAAGAGAAAAGGAATTGTATATAAGAGGGTTTATTTGAGATAAAGTAGGTTTTTGTATATTCTACTTTATAAAACATGCATGTAATGTCAAATTGAAAGTGTAAAGGATTGTATAGTCATTATTACTAATATTTATTGTTATATTATAAGTGCAATAAACAAAAATTTAAACCTTTTGACTCATTTTAATTTATTTTCCAATATTTGTTGCTAGTTTTAACTACTTAGGTAAGAGATTGTTTCCAGAGTCTTTATACTAAAAATAACATGTCTACAGTGCAGCAAACCTGCAGATTAAGCAAAATTCCATTTGCCTGAATGGCTTTTGCTGGTCATTTTCTCTGAAGCAATGCCTATTTGAGATTTGGAAACTATTAAAAACAAAGAGTGTTACTAAAACAGACATTTAATTGGATACAACAAGTATAAAATAGGGTTTTCACATTAAAAACAAAATATACTCAAAAATCAATAAAATCTAAATAAACAATATAACCTAGTGACTAAACATTATGGTAGTGGTTCATTCAATTGTTGTTAATAAATCATAATAATTGTGTATATGTACATACATACGCATTGATATTTACATCATATAAACACAACAAGGTAAAATAAGAATACAATTCTAAATAAAATATTATTTTAAAACAAGTTTTTAACCCTGAATTCTATTGCTGTGGCAGAAATTTTAATACATTCTTCTTTAATTTAAAACATTACAAGTACTGTGTAACTCCAACCCTCCAAGTTAACTGGAACCGTACCAAAATCGAACGGATCAATATTGGGAAAATTGGGTTTTTACAAAAATTTGGAGTATTTGACAGGAATAGATCAAATCGAGCCGAGCTTTTACTATTGCCATCGCAGAATGTTTCTGCAAATATTTCACAATAAAAATTGTCACGCTTTTGCCGTGACCGCGGAGGACAATGATGATGTTTCCAAGATCATATGAGACGATCATGATGTCGTCCGCAGGAGACAAGTTTTTGCAGCGATCACGGAAGACATTGAGGTTTTTCCCCATGACCGCGAGAAACAACAATTAAGTTGTCAACCGCAGAAGATGTTCGTATTGCTACGATCACGGCTTCAGCCTTCTTTAGTGTAGTTTAAAAGTTGTTTAAATTTGTTTAATAAGCGATTTGGATAGTTGGAGTTAGGATAATTGGGATAATTGGAGTTATACTGTAGTTGAGTAATTCAATAGCATTGTAAATAATATATCTTATAACACTAAACTTATTGATAGATAGTCCACGTTTATAAAAAAAACGTTCAGGCTACAGTTTCAGAAAAAATTAAAAGATCTGTAATGTGATGCTATAACTTTGTAGGTAAATATCTAACAAATCAGGTACTTCAGTTTTCAAATGTTACTTTTTGGCTAACCTTCTTAAAAAAAACATAGGCCCAGGTCAATCAAATTATAGAGGAGATGAAATAAAAATCCCCATTCTCCCAGGTTTAACATGCTAGAGCATAGGTTAGTTACACTATTTTTTGTTTGCTCGTCAGATGTTGATCAGCTATTTTTAAGACTTCACTCTCCGTCTGCCTTTTCTTTCTACATTTGAAGATAAATAATAATCTCCTGTTTATCATTACCTATATAATCAATCATCAATCATTGAGATGGGGACACCGCTTATATGCGTATTTTAACCACACGTATCAAGTTGCTGCACAAAGACACTCAGACCTTGATTTTTATTATATAGTCTTATATCTCTGTACACCATATTTAAAGCTTCATAATACATTTAATTTTAATTTTGTTATGCCTCTTAAACTTCAAAATAGAAATGAAAATATTAAGCTCGCTTTTAATTGTTCAAGTGGCCTTACCAAAGACTTTGCACACTATGAATGGGAACAGTTCATCCCAAGAAAATGTTTTTTTAATGAGTCCAAGTTAATGTAATGCTAATTTGGAATACAGTAAGTAGCATTATGGGTAAAAATTTACTAAAAATGACTAAGCGAATTTCCATTTTCCTGATTGACTTCATAATAAAATATTTCCTTTCAAATTTTATAAGCCAAATGAACAATCTTCTATATCAGTGCATTCAATCTGAATAAAATAGCTTAAACAAATATTATTTACCAAGTTAACTACAACATCTGCTACGAGTACGTATGGCTCTGCTGCATGTGTTTTTCTAGTGAAGCGCTGACTGGGAAACCCTTACCGCAGACTTGGCAGTTGTGTCGTTGTTCGCCTGTGTGAAGTCTCTCGTGCCGTCGAAAACTCGAGCCGTCGGCAAACTTGCGGTTGCAGACAGAACAAACAAACGGCTTCTCCCCACTGTGCACTCGTCCGTGGGTCAACAGATGAGATTTTGTCACAAACATTTTACCGCACTGATCACACTTGTAGGGTCTCTCGCCTAGAAAAATTGAATCACTGTTAGAGAAAGAGAATCGTAAGATTCATGGTTATCGGTGGCAGAATAGAGTTTAAAGAAGGAGGCAGAGTTGGTATCATCATTTACTATACAGTGCCTACACATGATAGTGAAAACACAAATAATTGATCTAGTTTCTGTCAACTAAGTAGGATGAACCGAGCACTTAATTAGAGATAGTACAACATTTTCTGAAGAAGTAGCCTATTCTTGGAGAGGCGAAATATCAAGATTAGTATGTTGTGTACTCGGCTATTAGCTTGAATCCTCTTTGATAAATAAAGTAAACATCTTCTACTTTAATCAGATGTAGTCAAACTTTTATTTAAAGAGCATAGTTTAATGCACCTCTCAGAGTGTGCTTCTGTCTAGATTGTAATTTCTCCTTAAAAATATTTGATAAGTTGTCCTTTTAGTTCAGCTTGGGTTAAAGTCAGTGTACTCAAAATAAACAACAACAACGTTTATTTTATTTCCCAAAGTGGCAACAGCTGTAATAGTGTACAGTATTCTATCAACAAAATAATGTTAGAATTTGGGATATTGACCAACATCACACCTACTGTAAATATGTTAGCTCAAAATCAATATTACCGGTGTGTATCCTTCGATGTGCAACAAACGTAGAGCTGGTGGAGAAGGCTTTTTCACAGACGTCGCACTGGTACGGTCGCTCGCCTGTGTGGATCCTGATGTGTTTCTTTAATCCGCAGTTGTCCGTGAACTGACTTCCGCAAATGTCACACTTGTACCTTTTTATGACCGTTCCGTCAGGGCCGTGAGTCCTCTCGTGCTTCACGAACGCCGACCTGTCGGAAAATGATCTTCTGCACACCTGTAATGGAGATGTCATAAAGACATTTTTTTAGAATAACTAAAACAGCCCTGTCAAAGTAATCCTAAAGGATTTATCCCCCCTTGTGTAACAAATTTGATGTCATGTGTCCAAAAACAACTGTCAACTAATTGCAATATAAAACCTTCCAAAAGATTGACATCAAAATTTCCAGATAAAACACAGTAAATTAGGATATCTAACAAAAGTTACAGTACAAAAATATAACTTCAGGACAATACTGAGGTTGGTGATCAAGCTGGTTAGGTATATCTTATCTAAGTGATAATGCCAGCGACCTTCTAGGACTAACCTGAAGTAGTGTGTAACACAGTTCTGAGCTAGACTCTAGCATCCAAGGATGTGAAAGAGGAACATACAAAAAATTGAGGTCTATCGATTTCAAGGATTTTTAAGTTTCCAGGTTTTTACAAACATGTGGGAATCTATTTAACAAATTAGATAAATCCTTGTAAAAATCACTATCAACATTCTATCGTAACATGTTTTTACCATTCTGTATAATTCTTTGATTGAGTATGTAAAAACAGCTAGAGATAGTTATTTAAGGTTCGAGTTAGCAAGTCAACTTTTGAGTGACGTCCCGTCTTACCTGACAAATATAAGGGCGCTCCCCAGTGTGTGTACGTTTGTGAGTGGTCAGATGGGAGTTGGTGGCGAACTTCTTGAAACACGTCTCACACTCGTACGGCCGCTGCTGCGTCACATGGTTGTGTTCGTGGCCGAGGAGAGAGGAAGCAGAAGGAAAACCTTTGCCGCAAGTTTGGCAATGGAACCTGGCAGTCACATCCTTCTGTGAAAACACAACGATCTAGAGACAACACTTCTTTAATACCTAAAAGTTGATGAAATCAACCAACAACTGGGGTAAATTGTGCTGGGGTGTTGTTGTTGTTGCCCAGTGGTTAGCGTCTCAGACTTGACTGACATCAGACTGACATAACAAAAATAGGGTTTAGACAACTTAAGACCGAAAAGTGTTTGTGATACCTACTTTTGGAAATTTTATATTCCATCTTTAGTTAGATTTTATCTAATCTTGTTATGTTTTAGGTGGCCTACTGTACTTTCTCACTACTAGGTTCCTCTTCCACGGTTTTCAGTAATCTGATAAAGTCACAATCTATCTTGTAGAAAAATTGTGAGAAGACAGATAAATTTCACTTACATCTTTCGGCGCATCCTCCACCTCCACTTCTATATGGACTTGAGGTTCAGGCCACCACACTTTAGTCTGAGGACTCACAGGGTGTTCAACATGATGTTGCGTGTCTTGACTCACAGGGACAGGTTGTAGCTCGTTTAAACTGGTCGGCTCACTCACCTCAACACAAGACTTTAACCTGTAAATTATTTCTAAATTAGTGACTGAGCATTTGAAGTGTTTGAGGGATTATAAGAACAAAGATAACTGTTAACTGTTTTGTTGACAATCAACTATGTTGAACAATCAAACTTGCTAATTTACTATTTTAGTTTTCAAATATCTCCTGATTTGTTTTAAATCAAGCCAATCTGCTACTTCAGTAGAAATCGTTAACTATCGGTAAGCCTACCTGAATCAATTGGTACTGTACCACATTCAAATTATTGGAACTGTACAGAAATTCAGCGAATTTGATCAAAAATAGTTCATTTTTGGTGATGTACGTCTAAGTGTTATAAAAATGAACAAAAAATAACATTTGTCCAGAATATAGTGCACATACTAGAAGTGATATAAGGGTTTAGTAGTGGTATGCAAACGGCTAGATTTTTGAGCCAAGCCTAAAAGATTGAGACATCAGGAACCAAGTATTCGTAATTGAGCTCATGTGGAACTTTTCTTATTGTGATATTATCACAATTGCAAAATACTTGAGCGAAGAGTTTGTGATAGAAAATCATGCTTTTGATGACGTTTCTGTGACTGCAGGAGGCAATGATGATTTTAAATGTAACTGCGGGAGACAATGATGTCTACTTGACCGATTGAGTTGTTCAGAATTTTGCCTCAATCACAGAAGACAATGATAATGTTTACGTGACTGTGGAGAGACAATAATAATTTCTACATAATTACAGGAGATGATCAGGATTTTGATGCGATCACGGCATCTGCCTTCTTTAATAATGATTCTTTGTTATTTTGTGCATCTAGTTACTGTAGTTTTAGGTTTTAAAATTCATTCTGTAAGTGATTCGGATAGTTCAGATGGTTGGGTTTTGGATGATTGGAGTTCTACTGTAATCTTTATTGTGCAGTTATGTTTTGAATTGGCTCAATAAACCAAAATTCTGACAGTAAAATCCAAGCATAGCCCTAAACTGCAAGGATAGTTTCCATATACTTGTTTGTCCCAAAGTTAAATAAGTATTTTTGTACAACACTGTAACTCAGTTTCAATAGGTCTAACTTACTAACCTGGATCCACAGTATGTCTGAACGTCTACCGTTGCGTATGAATGATTTAGAAATGTAGGATGAAGCAGCCATGGAGGTATTTCAGGGTGAACACTTTGCTTGGCATGATCCAAATTAGCCTGTAAATAAATAAAGAGCAACTTACACCAGTCGCGAACAGCAATCCTTTAACCCGAGATCTGGTATGTCTAATCGTTGCCTCGTTTAGTCAATGTTGTGTCATTTTAATATTTAGCAAGGTAAATATAAACTTGACCAAAAAAGGCAAAATGTTATCAGTCATAAAACAATTTGCACCTTGGACTGTGAAGCTGTAGTGGACTACACAAAACTTGTATGACGACTTCGCTGATTTTAATATTCTAATATACCGGTACTGTATAAGTTAAGTTAATGAACATTTTACGCTGAAATAAAATATGTATCTTCTATCATTAAGGCTTAGATGCTGCAGTAAAAGTAACAATAATGATATATTATTTTTGACATCGAGATGTGGAAATGACCCTGAACTGGTTAGGAGCTAATCATGTTGTTTGTTAAATACCTTCAGCCATCTAGTTCAAATAAAGTAATACAATAATAACCAGTTGTTTTTCTGCGACCAGTGAATTCAAACGAGTGTGTCTTTGTCTTGTAAATACCGATGGGTAGGGGCCTAAGTCTTTATTTATGTATCCCTGTTTGTGTCATGTGAACTATATACGGTACGTAACTTATAACCCAATGAAGTCCAATGGACTGAACAAATTCCACCTTGGAGCCTGATGATAGCACAACAACGTGCTAAAACCTAGATTGCAAAAAAATTACCTTATTAAAACTGGACGGCTGAATGTTGGTAAACCATTATTAAATTATGTAAATATTTTCAAAAATTTTATTTAATAACTTAATATAGGCTACTTTATTTTGTTGATGAATGATAACAAAATTCTTACAGTTGTTTGCAAAGGCAACATACCAGAACTTTCCCTTGGGTACTTGGTGGACTTAAATTTCCTTCAAACTTGGTACAAGTACTGTGAGATACATTTATGAATGCATCAGTCGTGATTGGTAACTCTGACGAACTGGTGATCTTGTCCATCATTAGCTAGTTACAGTTTCCTTGTGGCATTGTAGGTTTTGTGTTGAAGCGGTGGTAGGGATTCAAATACATTTAATTTTAAATCTACTGTATCTGCAACAAACAGTAACTTAATCAACAGCAAGTTAAACTTAATTGATGAAAAAATACCTGTGTTAATGTAAGTTGAGGTAAATTTAGGTAGCCTGAGTGCACTACTGTAATTCATGAAACTGGGATAGCCTATCACAAAAATAACTTGCATTCTACATAGTCATGTTAGGTTGAAATAACCTAATTTCAGTACAGTTTTGGAATTAAAATTTATTTCCATTCTAGCTCCTAAGCTGTTATACTTTTTCAATATGATAAATAGGTTTAGGCCTACATACCTTATAAATCCGACAAACAGCTCAATGTTATAGAATGTCATTTACATGTATCGGCTTGTACCCACCATTGTAAAAACATCACAGTTGGACGTTGTAATCATTGTAATCATTTGTTACTAAAAGTTACATAGGGTACACTTCCATCTGTTGGCACAAACAACCTAATGAAAATATCGATCGATATATCGATTATTCAATATATCGTTTGGTTAGTTAGGTAAGATTAACCTAACCTAACTAACCAAATGATATATCAAATTAAACAATCGAATAATCATTATTACTCACTCGGTTGTTTGTGCCAACAGATATGGAAGTGTACCCGATACATTCACATATGCACATACACGAGCGGGACAAAGACATTACGAAAATGAATAATAAGTTGTAATAGGCCTGCTTATTACAATAAATACATGGGCAGGACGCACACCTTGGTAATGGTCAGGATGCAAACTCACGTTCGCCTAATAGACATTGTAATAGGCCTATTAAAACTTTTTAATCGTTTTTGTAATGTCTTTATCCCATCCGTGTATGTGTACATGTACTTTTAGTAACAAACAATGACAAGGATTTCACCATCCAACTGCGATGTTTTGACACTGGCGTATACAAGCCGAAACATGTAAGTGACCTTCTATAAAATTGAGCTGTTTCTCGGATTTATAAGGTATGTAAACCTATTCATCATACAGTTTTGGAACTTAAAATTAATTGTGATTAACAAACAGCAAGACAGCTTAAACCATATTACTATTTGGCTCCTTTATTACATAAAACAATCATTGGCTGCACTTTACTTGACGTCCTACACTCATTCGAATTAAAATATCGATCAATATATCGATTGCTTCATTCGATATATCGTTTGGTTAGTTAGGTAAGGTTAACCTAACCTAACTAACCAATCGATAACTTATATCGAATGAAACAATCGAATGAAAATATCGAATCGAAAAAAACAATCGAATGAGTGTAGGACGTCAAGTAAAGTGCAGCCCAATCATTAGAGAAATAAAGCAGTAAACTGGGAGGACCTAAGTATTTTAATGACACAGCTAGGCCTAGGCCTACCAAGTCTTGAAAAAATCTATATTATAAACCTAGAATTTCTAGGTATAAGTAGGTTAAAGATAAAAAACAAAATCCAAGTTTAGGTATGTAAACAAATTATAGAATTAGTAAACCCTTAAAATTGGGACCACAATTTTTTATGGATGCAAAACTGCCCACATACATCAATTTTCTGTAAGATAAAGGACGGCCTAACCTAGAAAATCAATGGTCGTCGCTTGATATTTAGTAAATAAATATTTACCGCAAACGCGCTACTTCAGCTTATATGCCATCATTTTATATACAAACAAGTACAAGACTATTAAATTTGACTAGTTATTAAATAGAACCAACCTAGAGTTCACAAATGAAAATTAGGCGTATTGGTTTGAGGTTTGGTTAACAACACTGTAAATAAAAATATTATTTTTTGTTTAGATTCTTCTTATCCTCTGCTGCCGCCACGATTACTAGAAAAATACCGGTATGGATCATAAACATAAACAAATGACGTTGTTGGCCCGAATCCTATACTAATAGCATTGAACATATGTTTTGGCAGTTGCATTTAAGCTGCTGCTCACTAATCTGTTGGCAGGTTCAGGTTGTCCGTTGTGTTACAGAAAACGTACTACAATAACCATCAACTCGGTTTCAGGTTCAGGCTCAGTTCGATATGCTAAATGAATTTACGTTTAAATAAAAACAGTCATATGATCATATGCCCAATCATTTCAGTTGACTTGATAGCATCTCATTATATTTTCTAGTTAATATTGTTAGTATTTGCTAAATCAGTGATTGAAATAACTCAATATGGTTCCATATTCAACGGCTAAGCCAAACTAAACTTGCTTTTGCTCATGCTATGTCTAATCAAAACATATGCTTTGTTTGTGATAAGAGATAAATCAGCTGACTATTCGGCTATTGTGGTGGCTGTGAGATGTTTGTTGTTTTTAGTTTTTTATGCCGCCTGGTGTGTTTCGCCATCTCTTCTTGCTGAATGCTACAGTGTTAACTTAGTTATACTTTGTGTTTGAGGTAAGGTTAAATTTTGTTTTGTGTACTTTGACGTTTTATTTGCAATGTTATATTAGGCTAATTGCGTTTAATCCTAGCAAAAATTATGGCCTGTAAAACATTTATAAGCAAGACTACGCCGAATTGAAAATAAATTTACAGCCTAGCTGTAATAGCCTAGGCTATATTATTTTCTGTATAGCCTTGTCAACTAAAATCTTGATAAACAATCTATGTAATGTATGCAAAACCTTCATAGCATTAGTCATCTTTCTCTTTACATTCTTTGTACTCAAATTACCTTGGTATGTATAATGTAAACAGTGGGCTACATTTATGATTTTTGGAAAGTTGATCTTACTTCTGTCTGGATGTGTAAAACCTAAAAATATCAGCCTTAAAAAAAACTACCTAAACCCTGCTGAATAAATACTCACAAAAGTCAACTGCTTACCTACTGTTCGTTCATAGACTTTTTAATTAAAACTTAAATTTATTCAATATGTTTTTATTTCAAAATACTTAATGAAAACTTAAACTCCACATGGGAAAGAAATATTAAACTTAAGGCTAAGTTAACTCCTGAGTTATTAGCTCATGGCTGTTAACCCTTAAGTGCGCATGCTCGCTTTTTTATGATGGAGCGCGCCAAATAAAAATGGGTGTATACAAAAATTGTTGGTATTTAACTTAAAGCTCTTTAAACTTTAGACATAAAACTTATCTAACTTCTATTGATTTTCTCATATTGTTACGTACATTTTATGATCCTACCATATCCTTTAACTATTTTGAAAATTGTTTAGACCCTTAATTTTTTCATGATGAAAAGTAATAGGCTAGCCTAATTAATAGTGATGAAGAGGGGAAAATCGTACCAAACCAGTTTTTATTACAAACAAATAGGCCTATTAGGCTATTTTGAATTTTACAAAAGTATAATAGGTACTCCAAAAAAATCATGCAAGCAGTAAATAACTTACTTCATGAATTTATACATTTCCCGGTTTGTGAAAATTAGACTTATTGATTTTCATTGTAGCCTATCTACCTAAATAGTTAGTAGCAGACTAAAAACACGCTGATAGCCTTTGGCTACTAACTTACTCAGTCTTAAAACATAAAGAGGTGACTCATATCTGCAGTGGCTGAGATAAATAAACATCTCAAACTGTTTGTTGTGATAAAGTTGTATACTTTAACTTATATTGATTGCTGTGTCACTTAGTTTAGGCTACTTCTAAAACTGTAAACTTACACAGTGTAGAGTGATAACACCATTAAACTTATTGGCATTAAGAAGGATAAAATTCACACATCAAGTGATACAAGGCAAGTGATACATAAGATCAAGACAATTTAGTAACTTCCCCTGTTTAATTTATAAATCAAGCTATGTTGGAAAGATAACCTAGCCTACACTGTGCCAACTTTTAATTGTTATCTCTTTATTTCATAGTATATTTTGGTTGGTAAGTAGTTTGGTAGCTTATTACTATAGGATTGTCATTTATCAAACTCACGCGAGAGGGACTGTTTCGATCCCCAACTTATCCACACAAATATGAGGTGTATGTACCACTTCCACTTGACTTTCTCTATAAACAGAAATGCTACCACTCATATTATCGGACATCTGTTTTGAATTTGGAGAGAAAGGTATGTAGGTACATTTGGGGTGAAAGTACAATATTTCCTCCACCAAACCTTAACACATTCTAGGTCAGGGAGATGTAGACATATAAGTTACTACCGGTACCAAAAAAAATTTGTAATTTTTTACCATACAGTAAACATAATACGGTGATGTAGACATTTTCCATTACGGTTTTAAAGTTATAGCCAGTTATTCAAATAAAAATAACTATGTTCAATTATGTCACCATCACCAACTCTTAGCTTTTGTACTTAACGTTTATCTCTTATAACAGATTTTTGTTCGTAACGAAGCTGGAGGGGCAAATTGTAAATTCTAGCGTCTTTATGGTATGAAATTCCAAAGAGAGAAATTAAAACTGCAATAATAGAGATTAAACGAGAGGCATACAGTACTCATTCCACTGTGGACCAACAAAGTGTGCCCTCTGGAGATAGTTGCTAAGTTCTGATGAAGTACGACAAGTGTTTCCAGGCTAGTGTCCAAAGAGTAACTTAGAGGAGGTATTTGGTGGGCAGTCTTTGGGTCTTAAACATGTTGGAGTCTTACACTTTACAGGCTGGCAGCCCCCTGTGCCAACAAACATGCAAACATAAAAATAAAAGTGTCTGAAAATGCGTAAATGCAATTTCCTCCCTCCCTAAAAGACACCCCTTCTGCGACCTCTTACACAAACAAGTAGCTTCAGCTCATCTACTTTGGTATTCACAATCAACGGTGTAATTGAACCCTAAGTTACCTAACATGTTTATTCTTTTCAGAACTACAATACCTAAACAACAATGACTGGACATCACGAAAAGCGCAAAGTGCCTCCTGCTCTAGAAAAGATTCTAAAAACCGATGTCTACCTCACTAACTCTCTGTGTAATTTAATGAACAAATTTTTACCATTTCGATCCCTCAAGATCCATTACAAGTTGTTAGAGGTAAGTTGTCACAGGGATTATATTGCAAGTAGGCCTAACAGTATAAAATACAAAATACCAACTATTTTTAGCATATAGGTAGTCTTGCTTTGTCAGATTTGTAACTTTACACAATAACTGAGTATGGTTATAGTGAACCTAAAATAAGTGTTAGGCCTATTTCAATCAAATATGATTTTTTAATACAGTGGATACTGCACAGTTGACTGTTGGTTATCAGCATATTGTATACGGTAATATAGAGAATCTGTTCTATGGTAATTTAATTACACAGTAAAACCCTGCTACTTAATAAGTAAACTTGGGTAAAGAATAACTACGGTACTTGTTTTTTGTTCATTTGTACCACTTTGTTGGACTTCAAAGATACTGTTAAAAATATTTTATTGGGAGATCCAACACTCATCCTTCACTTATATTTGGGGTAAAATACGCACCTAGGTAGCGTTCCCATCTCATGATTGATAATTGATTGGCTCAATTCAAAGACGTGCATTTTCATTGTAAAACTCCAACATCGACTTGAGAATAGGATGTCTCCATTGTCAAAATGGTTCTTTATTTGAAGTGATTGCTTATTTCCAACTGCAATAGTGTATCAGTGCAATAAATAAGGTTTTATAGGTTTTAAAATATTATAACGAAGATGATTTTTACAGGTATCATGTGCCGGATACGTTTGGTTGCCTGTATGGATCATGCTATTGTGGATCGTATGGAAAAAAGAACTCATGGAAATGCAAGTCAACTTTTTCATTGGTGAGTTTGTAGGTACCTCATATAGAATTTTTTTTTAAGTAAGTAAAAGTTGACGTAACCTTTATCTGTGAAACTTAAGCCTCTACGTCATAGAGTTTTTCTTTAAAATTGGATTTCACACATTTACTTTTGTGTTTTTAAATTTTAGAAGTCGTAAATTTTCTTCCAAAATTTACCTACTTCAAATTTGGTTATGACTTTACTTCTTGAAATAGGCCTAGCTTTAAAAACTATTGTAGAATAAAATTGGAAAACTCTAATTCTGGTTTAGGTCATTTTTTAAGTTTTTGGACCCCAAAAGAGAGTCTTCAATCAACGTATTCAAATCAATACAAGAAACATTTAGCATTTAAAGAACCTGTTGTGAAAATATTATCATATAGGATTCTTACATCTGATGTGATTGTTTACTCGTACCATACTCGTTTATATTAGGGCCTAATAGATATCTGAGTTTAATTCACTTTTCAGGTCTTATCACAGACATCATCTTAGTGGGAGTGTTGAAGGCGGTTTTCAGAAGACGACGACCCGCCGGTAACCAACCTGACATGTTGGGCTCGATCGGCCCGGATGTTTATTCATTCCCATCCGGACACGTTTCCCGTGCATGCTTCATCGCCTACTTCTTCTTGATTCTGTATCCCATTCATTTCATTTTCCGATTGCCTCTGCTCGCTTGGGTGTTCTCCGTAAGCGCCAGTAGGATTTTGTTGCGGCGTCACCACTTGCTTGATGTTTTTGCTGGCGTTCTCCTCGGTATTGTCAACGCTTTGCTGATTTCGCTGATCTGGCTCAGTGAAAACACTGCTGTTTATATTGTTTCCTTTATTTCTGACGAAAGAATCGAAGGTAGTGAGTATGATGTTTAAAAAGGTTGTATTTTTGTTATATTTATATTTGTTGAAAAGGTAATGTATAGAAAATATTTTCATATCTTAGCAGAGCTTTTTGTACTTTTATAGTGAGATTGAGTCATTTCGAAAGTCTTGTCCATATTGTTAAAATGTTCACATTGTTGTGATTGTTAAATCACTTGGATATGTAAAAACTAATAGTTATGGACATGGTATCATAAAAATACTTCATCTATAGGCCTACATGATACAAGTTCTTATAGAATTCTTTGAATTAAAGTTGGTTTCATTAGATCACTAAAACAGTGTAAAATCAAAAAATTCACAAGGTCTATTTTTAATTTGCTCATACATTATACAGAAACTCTACTTTTTAATGTTGAATTATTATGTTTATTGTTACACATTTGTATTTTTTTGTACTGTACCGTACACAAAAATGTACATCTTTGCCTTCATACATTTATTTGTGTTAGATTAATTTTACTTGTATTTGGGCATTTTAATTTATTTGTGTTTCTAACCATTGGTTTGTGTTTGTGTGTGTTTTCGAGTATTCCTCCAGTTCAACCAAATAATCAGAGATCACACAATGCCAAAAACCAAATAAGCCAAAAAACCAAACATAAATACTTCATCAATTTAGTCCAACGCAAAAAATATATTTCACTTGACGTTCTTTACCAAAGAATAAATTACTGTGGATTTGAACTACTAACTTATTTTAAATGTTCCCTAGTCATATTAATAATTATCAGGCTATATGTTTTTATTGTAAAATATTTTTAATTTTATATTTATTGTACTTAATCACATTTCATAGAGTTAGTTTATAAATAGATCATAGAAAGTTTAAGGTGTGATGTTCAAGAAAAGATAGATTTTTAAAGAGTTGTGTACAGCTGTCAGTTTTAAACAATTTAATTGTTGGTTTACGAATATTATTTTGATTTTTTTACTTATTCAGATCGACATACCCAAAAATTTACTATCTTCCCCCTGCACAGCGAAGAAGTATTAATTACAAACTATCTGATGTAAAAATAAGGTTTTCTATTCTAGCATTGAAGGAGTGAAAAACCACTATTTTGTTTGTCTTGTTGCATTCATATTTTGTGTCCCATTTTGAATCACATTTTTGTAGTTTTATTTTATTAGTTCCTCATGCTTATAAGTATTTGTATTTGTGATTTTGTGCAATTAAAGAATGTTTGATCTTTTATTTATCCTTTGTTTGTAACCTTGTTAAGTTCTTTTCCAATTTGTATATTTTGCTTAACATATTTTTTTTATATTGCAATGCTCTTTTAACACCATTTTCATTAATTTTCAAGAATTGTTTCTTTAATTGAGGTTAGGTTACAATCTTGAGTCATTTAGCCATAAATATTTTCATTGTGGTCGTTATGTAATCTTATTTGGACACAATACCTTGATTCTAAAAAACTTATGCTACGATTTTATGATCTGCATTCATTTAAACTGACTGTTGGCTTATCATGCCATTCAGTTTATCGCATATTAAGCCATAAGAATGGTTCATGGAATTCTAGAGGTAATACCAAACATAAGGTATGCAGAAGATGTGGTTTTACTAGTAGCTAACATTTAAAATGGTTGTGAATAAATGGAAATCCAAATACTTAAGTGTTTAATTATAATGGAAATCAACTAAATAAACTTGTTTTGAACCTATGAAAAATCCATAAATATTTCCTATTATTCAGGGTTAAGGTAAAGGCTAACAAACCCTTTATCAAGATTTAAAATCCTGTGTAAATATGGTGTAAATATATAGGGTGTCATGTGAGTAAGTTCACAGATAATATAACCACCCTAGTAGGGGTTTATTATCTGTGGTAAGTTCAAAAAGTTTAGGAATAGGTTTAGTGGCTCAGAGTAAAACGGAAAAACAACAATAACATATTTTCCTAAAAATGCCACATTAGCGAGAAAGGCCTATCTACCACTTTGTTTAGTTTTTGTTTCAAATTTATATCTTGAAAACTATCGAAGATATCTTTATGAAATTTTGTATACAATTTTATCTAGTCATAATCTATTTTAGAAAATATAATAATAAAAAATCTTTCGGTTTTAAAATTGTGACCATTTTAATTTTTGTTAATGATTAATAATAATTTTTAACTCTTATTTTTTTATTTATTTTTTTCAATTACTAAAAAATTGCCTAGCTAATGAAAAAATTCCAAGAAACATGAAACCTATTCCTACAGTATAAATTTATTTGATAAATAGATCAATATTTATTATCCTCACACAACATTTTTTCAAGTTTTCTGTTCAGTACCTACTTTTCTACTTTTGGCATATCAAGTAGGTATTTTAAGAGTAGGCTTATGGTACTGTTTCTGTGTTGTATGGTATGACTCCTTTGAGAAATTATTAAATGCACAGAAGAGGTTGTACAATTTTGGCAGTTTTAGTAGGAAAATTAGTTACTATTGATGGTTAGGAACTTGCCAAACAACAGATTAAAGTGTGTTTATTTGAGTTTGTTTACAGTTACAGTACATTGTTACTTGAATTGTAAGATAAACTACTAGTGAGGGTGCAGTATAAAACATTTTCCACAATGTAACAGAGGAATATTCTCCTCTATAAATTGTTCATGTAAAACATCTTATGATGAAATTGTACCCTGCAACATGGCATCAAGTTACTTTTCAATGATGAACATACATTTTAAAAAGTATGCAGGAATAATTAGGAAAAGTAATTCTCACAACTTGCTTTATAGTGTTTCTTATTCAGAAAATAATACTTAACGGAATCAGAAGGATCATAAATTTGTTTGTTGTCTCCATAGATTTACCTTCAAGTCAGAACCATTAAGTTCAAGAATGTGTTGACAATGAACCATTAACGTTTAAAGACCTGGTTGCTTTAATGTGTTCCAAGCCGGCAGTAAAATGTGAAATGATGGAATTTCTTAGCAAGTAATAGAAGTATTTTTAATTTTAATTCAAGAAAAGAATTTTTAATTTACTAAGGTAAAAGAAATTTTTATTTAAAATCTTTAACTAACAAAGGCAGCTTTGGAGTAAAATCTTCCAGGTTTTACCTCAGAATTGAATAGCAATTGCCAATTTATAATTTTTAAGTTAATTAACATAATTTTTTGCATCTTTACTAGACCAAATTATATCACAAAAGAAATCATTCAAAAATAGATTACCAGGGTGGTGTTTTTAATAATACTAGTTAGATTGTCAGTTTCAATCGAGTTTACAAAAAAATTAAACTATACTCTGCAAAATTTAGGCAGTTTTAAAATAAATCTATCCCCTCCACGTCTTTTAAAGCTAAAAAAAAAATCCTTAAAACGTGAATCAGCTGCAACATGTATTGAGCAGAAGAAAGTGGTGGGGGAACTTCCCCTCAAACCGCCTTAATTTTGTAAACGGACTATAACGGAAAAGTCACTACAAAAATCATAGTCAAGTTAATACTGGTTATGCTTACTATTACAATAAGCAAACCTTAGTCTAGTATATATAGGCCTACGGATAATTTATTGCAAGGCAAAAATAATGTTTATGTTGGGTTATAGAAATTAGATTTGTCACCAAAAACAATAGGATACATAATTTGATGATGTCAGCCCATTAAATATGTTTAAAAAAATACAAACACTTCTTTAATAATACCCTCCGCTGCAACAAACCTGCAGACTAAGCAAATCCCCATTTGACTGATTGGATTTTTAATTAAATCTATTTAATTAACATTAGGTTTAACAAGTACCTAGGTTTGCTGCTACAGGGAGGGTAATTAAGTGTGTTTTTTAGTAAAATATTAATAGCTTAGTATAAAATAAATAAATTTGCCAATTTTGATCAAAATACATCCATAAACAAGCAAACTATAACAGTTTACTTATCCTCCATAAGAATAACATGGGAATTTGAAATTTAAAATTTTTGGTATTTTCTCCGTAATTAATAACCGCAAAAACACTTCAATATACTAAATCATTTGGTTTTTTTAATTCTTTAAAATGGTTAGGGAGAAATAAGGAAATTTTATGTTTTGGGAGTCAAAATGAGAAAACCTAATTTTTACTACATAAACCCCCGTTCCCATGGACCGATCATAATGGTTCGTAAACTAATTCAATTTTATCCCGCCCTACATTTTCTATACCTATATATATAAATTTAAAACAAATAGTGTTTTGCCCTCTAGGGACATAAAAATGAAAAAGTACATTGATCCTGCCTCTAAGTCTTACCGTTTCACCTACGGCAATAGCTACTTTCCTACAGGGAAATTTGCTAAAAGTAGCCAATAATTGATGTGTAAGTAAAATTAACACAAAGTGAAAAAAAAAACAAATTATGAAGTAAACAAGTTTTCAATTAAATGATCAACATGGTAAGAAAGAAATACCAAGTGACCCAATATATAAATTATATGCTATATTGTTTTAAAAATAGGCCAAGCAAAAAAGGATATATTTCATAAAATGATTCGACTAGAGATCTTGTAGACAGAGGACTTATCATGCAAGGACTTTGGCTAACATATTTGATAAGTAAACTCTTTGAGTAATCATAGATAACAGCAATCAGCTGATTATTCTTTTCCTGGTGCAACATCAGGCAAGTATATGCTACACAGCCAGGCCACAATCTTTTGCATGTCTGGACTTAGACCAAAATTAATCACTGATTAGAACACATTCCTTGTTTTTATTCTGAGAAGGCCTATTTTAGACATTCAGATTTGTCAATCAAACTTGTCATGTGGACTAATGGATTGACAGGGCAAACCAAGTAGCCTATTGTTTTAGTCATTGTATCAACCCTAGAGGCAGTAAAAGATGGACTGGGTTTTGACAACTTCACCACATAATGTTTACACAGCTATGATGATTCATTACTTTTATAAAAATAAGCTTTCAACTCTTTTTAAATCCTAAACAATGGAATTGAAAAAATATAGATGCACCAGCAAGCATTCTTGTTTTCAGTGAAAATAATTTTTGTTATGATATTCAATAAAACAATATTCTAAAAATACAGGGTGAATAAAAAGTCAAGACCCCCCCCCCTCTAATATTTTTCCAAGTAAATATACAGAAGGGGGTTTACATTTAAAATTTTTGAGTGTCCCCCAAAAGGGGGGATTCGGGGGACAACTAAAAATGTTTCAATAGAAACCCCCTTCAAGGGACACCTCATTTTGAAGTGTTTATAAAAACTTAAAGAATGGTGAAAACCAGAGCTCGCTATCTCTTCTCTATCCAAAATGGCAGCCAATATTAACAATTTTATCGTTGATTTTCCACAACATTTGACGGGCTACCATTTTGGATAGAGAAGAGATAGCGACCTCTAGTTTTCACCATTCTTTAAGTTTTTGTAAACTCTTCAAAATGAGGTGTCACTTGAAGGGGGTTTACATTTAAAATATTTGAGTTGCCCCCCAAATCCCCCCTTTTGGGGGGACACTCAAAAATTTCAAAATGATAAAATGAAACTTCCTGCTAAGATTGCTTGACCGCCAAAAGGATATCTCTGTATATTTACTTGGAAAAATATTAGAGGGGGGGGTCTTAACTTTTTATTCACCCTGTATAATCTCTAATTTATGTTTTGAAATGTACATTAATCAAAATGGTATACCCACAAAACCAAATGTGAGATTCCGTTGTAACTCTACCTGTTAGAATAACCGGTACAACTCTGAAAAAAAGGAGTTATAACATTTAATTTAAGCGTTTTTTTTTTTACCAGGAGCTTAACATAGTATATGTTTTATTACTAAACAGATTTTTTAAGAACTCAATTTTGGCTACCGGTACTCATAAAATTTAAAGACTCATTTTGAAATACAAATAAAAAATAGTACTTTTACTTCTAACAATTCAATCACGTTTTTGCTACACTCCTGCTTCTTGAAAAACCCCACAACTTATTATACTTCCTTTACAATATTTAGACGATTTGAGGTAAAGTTCCCTCATCACTTCTTGTATTTAATGTATGTAGCTTGATCAGATTGAGCTATTTTAAAAGGTACGGGTCAAGTGGAGGGGATAGATTTCTTCACCTAAAACCGCCTAAATATTGTGAACGAAATTAAGACTGTAGCATGTAACATATCAATCAATGGTAGTTCAAATTCCTAACTTGTGTGAAATTTAGAAAAACATCACATTCAGTTACGAGGCTTTGTTTATTCATTGTTTATTTATATTGAAAAACAGCTGTAAATAAAGTAACATCATTTTCACAATTTCATCAGTGTTTTATTTAAATTATTTTCCACATTACAACAAAGAAAAGAGACTAACCTAAAAAAGTTTGCTTATTTCTACTAGATGCCTGTAAAAATCAGATCCCTATACTTGAAAAAACATACCAACAATAACCATTTAAGCAAATCAACAAATATATAAATTACAATAAACTATGTAAATTGAAACATTATACATTTAATTTCAACGTAACAATGGTTATTACAAAACAACAATATGCGGGAATAAATTGTTTACAGCTTTGTTTCTATACCAACTGGTATAAACCAAAGGAAAGATGTAAATCCTGTATCAATTAACATCAGAATCAAATACTGTAACACAGCTTGATGTAAAACGTTATTTGAAAATCACAAAATATTCTTTAAGAGTCAGCAGGAGTCAATAATTTTATCTCTGTTGACTACAGCGCTCCAAAGCCTGTGGTAACTCGCAGCTGCAGTACTATTATGCGCGGCGGTAGTGCAAAACAGCGGTTGTCCGAGCCCCGATCAGCAAAAACATGCGTTCACGTTGAAGCATATTAATCATGCACCGTAAGCTTGATTACCAAGCAGAAAATTTTATGTGATTCTTAAATATATTTTTCGTGTTAATTGCTTTTCAGATTTTTTAAACTTTTGTTTTAGAGGTTGAAAAAAAACCTGGTGTAAGTTAACACATTTGTGTACTTTGACAAAATAATAACAATTAAAATTTAAAAGTAGATAGCAAATCACATCCGCCGCTTCAATAGCTTTAAAATTAGATATTTGCTACGTAATATGCTTCAACCATTAACAATGCCTTTATAGGCAGACAATCCAAGATGGCTGGCGGTCCTGCTGACTCTTAAGTTATAGCATTTACTATTGGATACTGAAGTAGACATCCCATCTATATAGACCAGCTGTCGCTGTTTTTTTAAGTTGTGTGAGCCAGTCACAGAATGCGTTAGTGTAAAAAATTCTATTTTCTACCTTATTTCTTGTTTCTGACATAGTTGATGAGTCTTAACAGCGTTGCTTTAGCTCACAATTATGCCGTTTCATCAATTTGACTTGTGAAAAAGTTGGTACATTTGACAGAAATTAGTATTTTCATCAGCACAATCTGTTTGTGGCTTGCATCAATAACGATGACTATATTGACTTTTTTAAACTGGCCACAACATGGGGATGGAATGTCTAGTTGTATTATAGTAAAAGGTTATAGATAAAATGGTATGTTTGCATTGTTTAAGGGCATACTTAAGCTGATTTTACAGACATTTACTAATGACTTAAAATAGATTTTTGAACTCAGCAAAATGCTCAGACTCAAAGTTAAACCTAGAAATTTTACAAAAACATAAAGAATAGCGAGGCAAAAATAAAAAATAGTTAAACACATTAAAAAATAATCTCAAGGAATACTTTGTCTCAATGCCTTAAACTATGCGTACAAATATTAACCTGTACAGATAAAAAAGAGAGAAACCAAATGAAATTAATCAAATCGTTAAATATACGTTAATATAGGCTAAGTAACATAGTTTATAGTGAACCATTGCCTACTCTAGACTCCAATGAAAAAACTAAAAATGTTTGTTGTTGATTACTCTCTTGAATGAAGAAACTGAAACTATCTTCATTAATCAAATGAAATTATGAGTATGCTATCCAAAATTTGCAAACTAACTACTCCTAATGGTGCATAAATATAATTAACCGCACCAATTCCTTTTAACTTAAAAGTAAGTAAAAAACTGCTATTTACAAAGTGAAAATGTAATATCGTTAAAATAAATAAACGATACAGGAATGCTCGATCTACCAGAGAGCAGTGGTTCACGTTGGATGGAGTAAGCTTGGTTATTCTCTGAAAAAAAAAACACACACCGTATTACCAACAAAAAAAAAAGCACAAGCACATAGGTACAAAATAAACATTTACAATCTTTTAAAAAGAGGCACTTGCAACGTAGTTGTATTTCCTTTGCTAAGTTAATCTAAATTTGGAAGTAATTGAGTAAGATTCAGACATATTTGGAGTATTTTTAACCAATATAAACTTCATGTGTTGGGTCTTAAATTGATCAACAACTTTTTATTGGCTGGATCGAACCCATATGGTGCACTAGTTGATGAATAGTTACTTGAAGTTAAAATGGTAAAAGAGGTTTTAAACCTAATTTATAACTTTTATTTACACAGTGAACATGTTTCTTACTAAAAAACCAATTATAAACATTTGGATATCGTTTCAAACACAAGTATCTGTTCTCAACAGAAAATGTTGCGACTAGAATAATTTAGTCGGTGCTTACAGATTATGCGATACCACACAAATCTTGAACAAAATCACAACCATTTTTATAGAAGGAGATACTTTTGTCAAGCTGTTGTTGAACTGTAGAATGTCGGATCATCGTGGCACTGCTGTATCGATAAATTCACTCCTTAGAATAAAGAATAATATTGACTTCCTCAGTTAAAAACTGTAATTTAAAACATACAATTACTCTAGAATTTTCCCAGGTACACCGAGAAAACATTTATACATTTTTATGTAAAACATTTCAAACATTTTTCTATATTTTTATTTGTAAAAAAAACTTGTAATCACCTGAAATAGAATATTTACATTGGATTTTTTTATATTTTATTAAATGCCTCATGAAGTATTTGGATTAAATAAATATATAGGATGGTGAGGACACAGCTCATCTGATGAAAGGTTGCAGACGAGTCAAAGAACGCATAAAAACACACACATAATTATACTTTTTATGTGTTCTTTGACTCGTCTGCAACATTTCCCCAGGTGAGTTAGCTGTGACCTCTCCATCCGGCCATATTTATTTAATCCAAGCTAAAAGTCATAAAGTATTTGATATTTTTGCTACAGTACAACGCCGCTAATCCGTCACCTACGGGACCGGGACCATGGTCGGACTATCCGAAGAGCATATTATTTAATGACCAAATTAATTTCTTACTGACATTTATTGATCGTGCGTGATCGCGGATGTCCCCGTGACCGCAGGAGACATTTAATATTTTAAAACAATCGCGGGAGAAAACGATGATGTTTCAGTGATTGCGGAAGACGTTCAATATTTTGTCACGATCGGGGAAGACGACGATGAAGTTTTCTTTACCTCAGAAGTTTGCTGTGATCGCAGATAGCAACGATGGTTAGTTTCTGTGATCGCAGGAGATGATGATGATGTTTATACTTAACCGCAGGAGGTATTCAGGGGTTTGTCGTGACCCCAGACAGACCCCTAACAACAACAAAGTTTCTGTCATTGCTGGAGACGATAATTATGCCCCACCATGTTCAGGAGATGATTAATATTTTTCTAAAATCGCAGAAGACAATGATGTCCATACGACCGTGGAGGCGTTTAGGATTTTGCCGCAATCGCTGAGGATAATGATGATTTATTCCGTGACTGTGGGATTTTTTTAGGAATTTTCCACAATCCTGGAAGGCGACTATGCCCATGGTTTTTGTGACCATGGGAAGTGTTCAATATTTCCCACGATCGTAGAGGATGACGATAAATGTTTCTGTGATATCGGGAGATGAATAAGATTTTGACGTGATTGCGGGAAACAATGATGATATCAACACGACCATGGCAAATAGTTACAAACATAACCACGATAACATTTTCACTGATAGGCGAAAATGTTCAGATTAAGCAAGGAGTTGGACTAGACGAGGTTGGAATAGAAGGGTTCTACTGTACATTTTAACTTAAAGTTTTGGAAGGAAACTAATTCAGTGAAACCTTTTAAAATACATAATACATAGGCTAATACTACTACGTAATACTTGAAAATGTAATACCCATCACTTTACTCAGCATAAAACGTACCATGTTAAATCATACAATATACATAAAATACATACTCAGAAAATAAACAAAAGTACCAATACAATATGCAATAAGCCGTATAGTTCAATCCATACAGACAGACAGTTATGATCAGATGGAAGTTTTTTCTTCATCCACGGAAGCAACAAAACATCCAAGTGAATACTGAATTTATACACTTTCTTTTTTTAGACTTTATCCTCACCTCAACTGCCTAACAAAACAAGTCTATGTGGTGATCTGAAGAGAGTGAAGACAGTAATATAAGCCAATTGAATGGTGAATGCAATGAAAGAAAGTGCAGGAGGCAAGTGATGTACGATGGACGGCGTATCAACCCAATACACCACCTCTGGACACTCGGTACCACTTAAGACCTGCATTTTTGTGCTTCTGTCAACTGTTAAGCTCTGTTGGTATTGTTGTAACTATTGTTTCTAAACCCCAATCGCTTCCAGTATAATTTGCACTCACATTTGAGCCAAATTATTATGCAATTGAGTTTCAGTAAAAATCCAAATGAATCTGAATGCAGTAAAATTGTAAGTAAAGTGAATTAAATTTACTTTAGGTGTTATACCAAATCTATACTGCGAACATGTGTAGATGACTACACAAGAGAAATATACATTTTGATCTCTCCATCTTTTGCTGTTCTATGGGTATTTCGTAACTTAAATGAAATTCCTTCTTCACCTATACTCTAAATGAATGAAAATCTCACACCACTGTGTGTTACAGTCGATAGCAGCGCACTATGATGGATACATCAAACCTATCAGATGGATTTGGCCTCTGGGTTGTCAGAATTACCATAAAGATTTAGGTTACCTGAGCTGTCAGAATGATCCATTGCTATGATTTAACTAAAGCTGTAAAAAATGAACCACACCTTAAGGTCAGAATCTCTAGATAAATAATATTAGGATCCCATGGTTGTTTATCAAAAGTTATATAAATTAAAATTTCTAACAAACTCCACCATGAGGGATTCAATAACACGGACATTCTGTCCTGAACATGTGCTCCATTCCTTGTGGTGAAAACAGCTGTAGGTAGTTAAAACACATAAAAAACCTATCGGTCCGACAATAACCTTTATTTGCTAAACATGTCATCCGATGGTGAAACATCCACTGTTACCCGTTGGCGGAGGCACCTACGACTTGTTTTCAACAAAAGCATTGGTATACACAAACACTTTTATCAGCTAAAAAATTGACAACTGTATAGACATGCTCAGTGCCCGTGCCCTGGTGCAAAATGCTTATTATTCCAAAACACAATACCAACCCATTCCTGGTTGGAGACTGGTTGTGACCAGTTGCACCGCCCCCAATAATCTGTAATTAGAAGATAAATAATTACAGTTACATTATCTTTCAGTCCCATCTTCACATCTTAGGACCCCAGGTTTTATTTTCGTACCGTTTTACACATTACTTCAGGCTAAGAGGTTGCGGCATTATCACTTAGATGAAATCCATTGGTGATTGTTGGGATTTTAACCCAATACCTCGGGAACCAAAGGCCCGCTCTCTACCACTAAACCAGCTCACTCCTGAATAGCCAACATGGAAGTGTTTTCAGTAGACATTTTAGTTTCCAGTGTTTGTGTGTGTTTGTAAGTGAAAATTAATGTTGGGGTGAACTTAAACTTTCTCATCACTTATATTTTATCATAAGTTAACATTGTTTTGGTTATAACTACCATAACTTAAGTGTTAAGTTTGGCTTTGATTCACAATGCTAGAAAAACAAAAGTGCCTTTGAATCATAGCACATTCAAAACTACACATAAAAGATACCCTGTTTTGTTCTGACTCCCTAAATACATATGGTTTTATTACTAAAAACTTTGCATGTTTTCACATTTTTTTGGCATCCCACATTCAAGGAACTCAAATTATATTATTAGACTTTTTTTTTATTATTGCTTATGTTCTTGAGTAAGATGTTTGTGTGTCACCCTATATATTTTGCCAGCTTGTGTGACATCTTTTGGGGGTCTTCTTCAGCTATGGTATCTTTTTATCACTAACACATTAGTCTCCACATTTGCAGACAATACTGGTATTTCAATCAGATTGAGCGAATAAGAAATGAAACGACGAGTCCAAGAAATGAAATGGAGGAAGAAAGACCTCTGGCCGTGATTCTGCCGCGTGTCCGTCGCCAAATTATTCTCTCAACCTGGCCCCGATACTATTAGTGTTAGTGATAAGAAAATAGCTTAAGAAGACCCTGTGAAGATGCCACACAAGCTGGTGAAATGCATAGGGTTACACAAAAACATCTTACTCAAGATCATAGGCAACAATACAAAGATGATCTAATCATGTTTTCAGCTACAACCCAATTTTTTTACTTGTACTAGAATACTGAATATTTACGTAATGCGACTTACGTCTCCCATAGTGTCAGGAAGTTTGTAGGCAGCGTGCCGGCCATGCAGGTGGGGCAAGTAGTCTTCCCGTTCACTGAAAACAAAGTGAAAACTGAACTAAACAGTACAAACACCTAAAGAAAAAGGATATTAGTTGGCTTCAGTCTCTGTACTGCAACTGGATTATGCGTAGTAATGCTCAGAACTAGGCTCGACTCTGCCCACCACCCAATGGTGAAACTCACCGCTACAATCATATACACTTCATACGGGGCTACAGATCATCCATTTCTTCAGCAGTTCAACAATACTCAATTAGGATGTTTATTAATCTAAGATATTAACTTAGGCCTACTCCCCACCCACAAGATTGATTAACTGTCAATCCCCATTTAAACTTCCACGCTTCTTGGCTGGCACGAGAAAGGGACGTAGAATATAAGGCTTAGCATATACTTACGCCCCTTTGTCTTACATGTGTTTAATTTAACTTCCCTAGGACCGAAAATTATCGAGTAAAAGTTTACTGCTTCCGAGGAAGGTTCTAGCTACTTTAGCATCAGTAGCATCCAATATCAAGAAGATCTCAATTCATCTCTATGTTTAGTTTTCCTCTTGAAGTTTACAATTCATGATACATTGTAGCCTAAAGCTGGCTATTTACTATTTTTAATTTGTCTAGATTCTAGAACATACATACCGCCTGTCAGATACAGATTGAGTGTTGTCGCGAACCTCCTGCTCATGCTTGGACTTCTCAGATCTATACGAGTATTCTAGTGGTTCTTGAGAGGAACTGCCATCTGTAAAACATATGTGTGTTAGACGAAACAACAAACATAAACCACTGATGAGCTTAAACGTGGAAATCTCGAAAATGCTCAGATTTGTAATTCTTAATAATCAGCCAGGATTAGTCTGCTACAAAAAATACACACAAATATACAAAATACAAGATTTTTTTTCTAGAAAAAATGTATATCACCTTTTAATGTTTTTTTTTTTAGTGGATAGAGCGCAGGACTTCGGTTCCTGAGGTCCCGAGTTCAAATCCTGCCAAATAACCAATAGAACCGATAACAAATCCCATTTCCGTAAAAATACAAACAATAGCAGCAAATAGTGTGCACATATTAGTTTCACGCGCCTTTGATTCGGATTATAGGAAAACACAAAGACGAAACTTTGTAAGAAAAGTGGCTTGGATACGCTTATGAAGCGCATCTACTACTCGTCTAGCAAACCACAGCCTTATAAGGAGCGTCTTGATCTTGTCTGGCTTATCAGTCAAGACGCTACCACTGAGCTACTGTATTTGATGTAATATACAATCTAATATACTCACCACTTTTTTTATCAAAGAATCCTTCAAACAGGACAAAGTTGTTGTTCTGAGGGTGAATCTTTGATAACTTGTAGTGCTTGTTCATGAAGGACAAGAAGCTTTGAGTTGGTTTGTCAATCGCTAGTTTATAAGGCACAGTGTCTTTGTCCTGAAAAATAAAAAATAAAAAAATCCAAATATAGCTAAACAAGGGGACTTGTGTGCAAATTGCGCAGTGTTATGGTCCATAAGTTTTTTCCGAGGCAAAATGAATCCAGTGCAATACCCATTTATTTACCTTTTCAAGACAATGTTTATCAGAGCAGTGACTACTAACTTTAAATAAATCAGGTCACTCAAAAAAGTAGCCTATTTGAAATACATTTTCATTAGTGAAATCGATCCCAGAAATTTTCTACTCTTATTCCGGTTTCTATTCTTTCAAACTGATTATCCATTCTAGATTCCATTGATTTCATTATGTTAAAAATAGTTTATGGTGCTCAAACTAATATTTTTTACTAGTGTTTTGTTGATACCGATATAATTCTTTTTTTATCACATGTTCTGAAAGAATTGATTATACTACGTTATGTCTTTATGATGGGGTGTTTGTTTGAATAAAAGAAAAAGCAGCAATAAAAAATTCCAATGTGCCAAATTCAGTGAAAACTTTCCTAAACACATGAAATGTCATATTGAAGATGAACATATGAAGTGATGGTAAATGAAGGTATTACAAAACAATCTTCAAATAAAAGAAATAAAATCTTTTAACTGGAGGTGTGCCAGCCTGAGATTTCAAGCTAAATTCAAGGTAATATCAAGATCATCCTATAACCTCCCACAGTCGAGGAGACATCATCTTCATCTTCTGTGATGACTGCAAAATCCCGAATATCACCGTCTTCCACGGTCTCAGCAAAATCCTATATATAGCTCAGTGGTCACAGAAACGTTACCAAGGTCTTCTGCGATCAGGGTTGAGATTATTTTTTATATAACCCATAAAAAATACAGTATATAATATTACATTTTTTTGTACAACCTATCCCTAAATAAAGAGGCCATTAGTTGATTAACTGTTTTCAAGTTTTATCCCTATATACAAATAACATAATAATACTCTGTTTCTTCCTGAAACAAATATAGTAGGTTTATAACTTTTTTGATAACTTATGATATAATATTTTTTATTTTTATTTTAATAAACTATGCAAACTGCACCAAAATGTGGGTTAACAAATCTAACGCGGCAGTTCCAGAGTTAATACTGAAAGCCCACAGTCACCTATAATTCTATATCACATTATGTGTACTGTAGGCAAGAATTAGGCTACCCTATGACCAATTTCACTTAAATATTGTTTAAACAATATATAAACTTCACATACAATATATTAACTGTTAACATACCTCCAACATGTAGTCAAACATTTTCCTTCCCGCTCCAGTCCTCTGCTTTGATTCATGGATATAGAAATCAAGTACGCACAACGTCTCCTTCTCATGGACCATGCCAGTTGCGTCATCACACAGGGACAAATGCTTCATTCCCATCTTCAGAATACCAACAACGCTTCCTTTCCCACTGCAAATTACAAGTTAAAACTAAACTAATTTGGGTCGTCAGATTGCTTACAAAATTTAATATAGACAGCGGTAAATCCTATACCGTGAGTCCTATATATAACATGAGAAAAGTTTGAATACTTGTTACTCTGATCTTGGAATCGGCACCAAAAAACACCTTTATACTTACGTTACAACTAAGTCCTGTGTCAAAAAATAAGTTCTAGACCAGTGTCTAATCAGGGAAAATCATTAATGCCATAAAATACAGACAAACTTTCAAAAATTTAACAAGGGTCTTATGGAATTACAATTAACAGCAGAGGGTAGATCATTTATATAGATTAAGAAAAGAATGGAGCCAAGGACTGAACCTTGTGAAGCTCCCCACTCAACTGTCACTACTTCATCTGACAATCTTCCTTTTATACAAACTCCTTGTTTTCAATTTTGTATGTAGCTTTTTATAAAATATAATGGAGGGCCATCGAATCCATAATACTGTAATTTAGAGATATGGAGAATATGGCTGTAAACAGAGTCACAGAAGGTGGCTGGAGCATAAGTTTTATTTTCGAAAGAGAGGTGAACTTGCCTGACTAGATCGACCAACGCATTAAGAATAGATTTTTTTTCTAAAACCGTATTGATTTTTGTTCAAGATATTGTTTTATTCAAAATAATTTCTGATTTGATTGTTATATATTGATTGTTTGATTGTTAATTATTTATATTAGTTTTCCCACGACAGGTATAATTGAAACTGGTCAATCGCCATGCTCTGAGGTTGGTCCTTAGGACCTTTTTAGTAAATGAGATAGACTCGAGAGACTTTGAACAAGCACTTGATAATCCAAACAGTTTGCATTAGAATAGGCAGTGAAGAATCACCATATCTTCTCTTTGTTCTCTCCCAGTGGTAAGACACGGGCAGAACTAGTTAAAATTAATGTTTTTTAAATAGGAAATAAATATGACAATTTTGAGGGATTATTTTAGTGGAAATCTAGCCAGGTAAATAGAAATTCTCTTAGTCTTCAGGTTTGCTGTGGCGGGGGTATATACTTTTTAAGTCATCTAATATTTTATTGTTGTAAATATGATTTATTTTCATCTATGGTAACATCAATGCTTAATCAAAATTTTGTGTTTTTTTTTTCAAGAAAACATTGAAAGACAACACTAGCCAAATACAGCGTACTTACTGGTTTTCCCTCGGATCAATCATGATATAGAATGTGTGATCGCAGTTTCTCAATTTCTCGGCACTGGTGATGGGATGATGTAGGCCTTGTGCTTTGGACGAGGCCTGTCCCATGCAGTCTACTATTTCCGCCACTTGATTTGCCACATGTCTGATGAATAACAACCAAGGTCAGAAATTATCATCGTAAGTAGACTGTACCATAGCATATTTAAAGGGATTTCCACTGGGTGACAGAGGTGCCAGACTAACTGGGTGGTTTGGAATGCCCCCCATCAAAAAGGGGAGTCCGGGCAAATTTGCCAATTTTTGCATAAGTTAAAGTGAAAACCACGCATTTCTACGTATCTTTTAATGAATTTTTCAATTATATTTGCTTGTAAATAGTCCATAATCTCACTTAATTACTCTTACGAGAGTACGCCCCGTGGTCGAAAAATCGACCATAAGTATGTTTTGTGCAAACTTCTCTATTTTCACCCCACACTGTAAATAAAACATGTGATTGAAATGTCTTCCATTTGTTTTGATTTTCTGTTTATATTTTGATGTTATTTTGTCATCACCATAGCAACCCATATAACCCATGTTAATTTTTTAAAATTTCAAATTCATTTTTTGTGCTTATTTTTGAGCCTATTTTAATTTATAAAGGGATTCTGCACACCTACAGGAAAATAGCTTTCTAACGGTATGCGTAGATTTTCCCTACGATACACACGAGCTGAGAAAAAAGGTTTTAAAGAAACATGCTTGCCTATTAATATATAGATAGATAGATTCTAGAACGTTGTAACAGGCCAAGGCTCCCTTCACCACCTCTTTAATCATAGCTCAATACCGTACTCTAAAAAATTTACATAATGTTATTCTTTACATTCCGATATATTTAAAATTTGAATTTAAAAAAATATGCTGCACCACCCATAGTCACTGGGCGACAAAATCTCAGCACTAGGCGACACTTGTGTTGCCCAGTTAACCCTTTGGTAGGGGTGTGCGAATAGTGATTTTTGGGTTAGAATCGAATCAAATCGAATACTTCATAATATTTTCCAATATCGAATATTACCGTACCGAGCGAATATTTATGTTATTATTATAGACTCAAAAGAGTTTTTTCAATCACAGCTTCAGAACTCTACTAAGATTAATAATTCTGAATTTAACCAACATTTTTTTTAAATCAATTTTTTCCCTTAGGTACATATGTTATTTGTTCTTGGTGGTACAGGTGTTCTTATTTCGTCATTCTACTGTACCTTAAGTTCAGTTACAAAAAGTAGATCCTAATTAAGCTAAGATAATATATTTAAAAGTTATACAAATAGATATTTGTCTGATACAAACTCAATTGCTGCTAAATATAGGCTATTGTTAATTAATCAAATAAGAATGGTTGACAGTCTTGTGTTTCCTTGCCAGTAGTTTGCAGTAAGCCTATCGTATTGGAGCATTGTAAGCTAGCCAGCTGAGCGGAGAGATCTTAATAATGACACAACAAAATTATTGTCCTTGAAAATGGTTGTGTATACTTTAGAGTTAATGCTGACGTTGCCGTTGTGACTTTATAATATAAAGCATGATGAAATAAAACAACACAATAGGCTACCATATGATTTATTTGGTTGAAATCAGAGATTATTTCTAGGTTTGTTTACTATTCGAATGTTCGAATATATACTCATTAAGATCGAGTCGGGCTCGAATACTTAGTATTCGTTCAACTATTCGAACTTTCGAATATTCCCACACCCCTACCCTTTGGGTGCCAGAAATTTTGGTACTTTCCGAATAGAGCCAGAGTTTTTTGAGAGAGCCTTAATTTTGAATAAATTTTTATTAATGTGTCAAATTACTGGAAATTTTGTCAAGATTTCCAGAATATCGGATATATTTCCTTAGGGCGGATAGGATTCACCCCATTTCGCATACTAATTTAGATGTATTTCTTATGGAAGGAGTAGGCCTACTTCAATAAGATATTAATTAAATAAGTAATAACTCGTAATCTGTTTAACCAAAATAAACACATTATATAATTTTCTTGTAGAAAATTTAATCTTCTTCAATTTTATAATTTAGTATAGTACCTATACAAAAAGTTGACAGTTTTTGAGATATAATCAAAAAACCCAAAATGCGTACCTTTCACCCCCCCCCCCCCCTTTTTCCCCTCCGCCGCCCCAGCTTACCACCTTGGAGTCGGGGCTTTTGGTATGTTAACACCCTTAGCCCCCTGAACAAGTTTCTGAAGGAATCGCTTAGTTGCCTGCTCACACACTCTACGGCCTACGCCCACTTTTGGATCTTTCATTGACTGGACTATATTATTAAAAGATGCGGTGGATTGCATCACAAAAAATGCACTGGATTGCATCATTAAAAGTTGCACTGGGTTGAATCATCGACTCAACTTTGTGATGTAATTGAACATAATTGTTACCTACCCTACTCTAAACCTAGCTAACGAAATACTTACGAAGCTCTTTTTCTGTCACCATTGAAATCCGCCGGTAGCAGCGTGTTAGATACTTTGGAAATATGATTTTGGAATATGTCATTTAAGTTATGTTTGAATTCCATATTTAATGCACTATTCCAACAAAGAATGTAAGAACTTGATTTAAAAAGTTAACTGAAACGTTCGACAGTACGTGTAGTCCAAAAAATTAACTTGTGATGGATTTACACGACAACCTTCCTTAAAAGTTCCTTAGTCCAGTTCCCGTTCCAACGTAGCGTCACTACACTCCACTACACTTACACTAGCGCAGGTAGAATGGCGGGAATGGCGGTTGGTGGGAACTACGATTGTTGACAAACACAAACCTACCCTGCGTGACCTTGAAACTAGAAAGCGTCGACAAAACAACTCGGCTACCCCCACCCCAGCCAGTATCTAGCCCTAGCCCTTGTCTATTGTCTTCCCACCCCATGTTTCACTTTCACTGCTTGCAACCTTTGCTCACCCTCTGCGCTCTGCGTCGCAGCCGGCCTCAATTCGCCAACATCAAGTTCACAATGTGCAAATTTTCTATACGCTGTAAAATATGGTATGGAAATGTGAATCACTACTTCAGCGAAACATTTTAAACTAAATTTTGTAATAAAAACATAATAAAATACGAGTATTTAACAGTCCTTCAAACAAATGTAAGCATGTAAACAGCTGAACTGTCAATGCAAAAGTCCGTCAAGGAATGGAATAATCAAGTTTTGCGTATGCAGGCTTATAATAGTGGAATGTATCTTGTTGAGCGGAGCGAGCGAAGCGAGCGAAGCTCTTATACGTCGACTTTTATGCATTTCGTAATACGCAAACTCCTCCTAGACGGCTGAATCAATCGTTTTCAAATTTTGCATGGTGATAAAGACCATACCGGTGAGTGCCAACATCTATATGGCGTTACAAAAGTCTCTCAGGAATCCGCCCCACTGGGTCTCAAAGTTTCAATGTAATCCTTATGGAAGCAGTATTTGACACATAAACAAAGACATATGATCAGCTGTTGACTTTTGAATGCAGTAGATAAATAAATAGCTGATAGCATTATGCCACAGATATTAGAACATAAACGGTGGTATGGATTATTAATATAATCAAATGACGACACTAGCTTAAGGTCCGTGACGTAGGAAGTGGTGAAGGAATTAGTCAAGGTGAGCTGTCCGGAGTGTGGAAACTATTTATGACAATTAGATTTAGGTATCTGCATTCCTAAAATTCTATGGTAAAAGAGGAAAACGGGTCCGCGACGTAGGAAGTGGTGAAGGAAGTAGTCAAGGCGAGCTGTCCGGAGTGTGGGAACTGTTTATGACGATTAGATTAAGGTATCTGCATTCCTAAAATTCTATGGAAAGGGAGGGAAACGGGTCCGCGACGTAGGAATTGGCGAAGGAAGTAGTCAAGGTGAGCTGTCCGGAGTGTGGCAACCGTTTATGACGATTATATTTAGGTATCTGCATTCCTTAAATTCCATGGTAAGGGAGGAAAACGGGTCCGCGACGTAGGAAGTGGTGAAGGAAGTAGTCAAGGCGAGCTGTCCGGAGCGTGGGAACTGTTTATGACGATTAGATTAAGGTATCTGCATTCCTAAAATTCTATGGGAAGGGAGGGAAACGGGACCGCGACGTAGGAAGTGGTGAAGGAAGTAGTGAAGGTGAGCTGTCCGGAGTGTGGAAGCTGTTTAAGACGATTAGATTTAGGTAGGTAGGCCTATCTGCATTCCTAAAATTCTATGGGAAGGGAGGAAAACGGGTCCGTGACGTAGGAAGTGGTGAAGGAAGTAGTCAAGTCGAGATGTCCGGAGTGTGGGAACTGTTTATGACGATTAGATTAAGGTATCTGCATTACTAAAATTCTATGGGAAGGGAGGGAAACGGGTCCACGACGTAGGATGTTTCGAAGGAAGTAGTCAAGGTGAGCTGTCCGGAGTGTGGAAACTATTTATGACAATTAGATTTAGGTATCTGCATTCCTAAAATTCTATGGTAAAAGAGGAAAACGGGTAGGAAGTGTTGAAGGAAGTAGTCAAGGCGAGCTGTCCGGAGTGTGGGAACTGTTTATGACGATTAGATTAAGGTATCTGCATTCATAAAATTCTATGGAAAGGGAGGGAAACGGGTCCGCGACGTAGGAATTGGCGAAGGAAGTAGTCAAGGTGAGCTGTCCGGAGTGTGGCAACTGTTTATGACGATTATATTTAGGTATCTGCATTCCTTAAATTCTATGGTAAGGGAGGAAAACGGGTCTGCGACGTAGGAAGTGGTGAAGGAAGTAGTCAAGGCGAGCTGTCCGGAGTGTGGGAACTGGTTATGACGATTAGATTAAGGTATCTGCATTCCTAAAATTCTATGGGAAGGGAGGGAAACGGGTCCGCGACGTAGGAAGTGGTGAAGGAAGTAGTGAAGGTGAGCTGTTCGGAGTGTGGAAGCTGCTTAAGACGATTAGATTTAGGTAGGTAGGCCTATCTGCAATCCTAAAATTCTATGGGAAGGGAGGAAAACGGGTCCGTGACGTAGGAAGTGGTGAAGGAAGTAGTCAAGTCGAGATGTCCGGAGTGTGGGAACTGTTTATGACGATTAGATTAAGGTATCTGCATTCCTAAAATTCTATTGGAAGGGAGGGAAACAGGTCCACGACGTAGGAAGTGGTGAAGGATGTAGTCAAGGTGAACTGACCGGAGTGTGGAAACTGTTTATAACGATTAGATTTAGGTATCTGCATTCCTAAAATTCTATGGGATGGGAGGAAAACGGGTCCGCGACGTAGGAAGTGGTGAAGGAAGTAGTCAAGGACAGCTGTCCGGAGTGTGGGAACTGTTAATGACAATTAGATTAAGGTATCTGCAATCCTAAAATGATATTGGAAGGGAAGGAAACAGGTCCGCGACGTAGGAAGTGGTGAAGGAAGTAGTCAAGGACAGCTGTCCGGAGTGTGGGATCTGTTTATGACCATTAGATTAAGGTATTTGCAATCCAAAAACGCTATAGGAAGGGAGGAAAACAGGTCCGCGACGTAGGAAGTGGTGAAGGAAATAGTTAAGGTGAGCTCTCCGGAGTGTGGAAACTGCTTATGACTATTAGATTAAGGTATCTACAATCTTAAAATGCTACGGAAAGGGAGGAAAACAGGTCTGCGATGTACGAAGTGGTGAAGGAAGTAGTTAAGGCGAGTTTTTCGGAGTGTGGGAACTGTTTATGACGATTAGATTTAAAGTATCTGCAATCCTAAAATGCTATGGAAAGGGAGGGAAACAGGTCCGTGACGTAGGAAGTGGTGAAGGAAGTAGTAAAAGCGAGTTATCCGGAGTGTGGGATCTGTTTATGACCAATAGATTAAGGTATTTGTAATCCAAACATGCTAAGGGAAGGGAGGTAATCGGGTCCGTGACGTAGGAAGAGATGAAGGAAGTAGTAAAGGCGAGTTTTTCGGAGTGTGGGAATTGTTTATGACGATTAGATTAAGGTATCTTGGTATCTACAATCTTAAAATTCTATGGGAATAGAGGGAAACAGGTCTGCGACGTAAGAAGAGGTGAAGGAAGTAGTAAGATGAGCAGTGTGGTGTTAGGGAACTGGAAACTTTTCGTAGCAGTTAGATTAATGTATCTGCAATGCTGAAATGCTATGAGAAGGGATTGAAGCATGCATACGACATAGAAAATGGTGAAAGAAGTATTAAAGGCTAGCAGTGTGGAGTGTGGGCAATGTTTGTGGCAATTAGATTAACGTTTCTAAAATACTAAAATGCTATGGAAAGTGATGAAAACAGGTCCACGATGTAGGAAGTGGCTTAGGAAGTAATAAAGTATGAACATATTGTGAGAACCGTCTGTGGCAGTTAGAATAACGTATATTCAATCCTAACATGCTATGAGAAGAGAAGGAAACAGGCCCCACGACGTAGGAAGTGGTGAAGGAAGTAGTAAAGGCCAGCCTTTACTACTTCCTTCACCACTTCCTACGTCGTGGGGCCTGTTTCCTTCCAGCAGTGCAGATTGAGTGAACCGTTTGGGCAGTTAGATAAATGTATCTAATACTTAAAATGCTATGAGAAGGGAAGGAAACAGGTCTATGACGTAGGAAATGGTGAAGGAAGTAGTAAGGCTTGCAGTGCAGAGTGTGGGAACTGTCTTTGGCAATTACATTAATGTATCTGCAATCCTAAAATGCTATGGGAAGAGAGGAAAACAGGTCCACGACGTAGAGTGTGGTGAAGGAAGTAGTAAAGGTGGGCAGTGTTGAGTGTGGGAATGGATTAATGTATCTGCAATGCTAAAATGCTATGGGAAGAGACTGGTTAAAATGATTATGAAGCACGAATCGTTACATATTTCGATACGTATTCAATCGTTTACAATAGAAATTTATAACTGAGTTGACAAAAGTTGAGTTTTACTCCATGGAGGCTAAAAACGAATTTTATTCCTTAAAGAGTAAAAATGCTACTTAAGACCCGCAACGCATGCATCAATGACGACTGTTTTTACTGCAGTATGACAAAAACAATGTAATATGAACCCTTGATGACTCCGCTCAATTTTGTGGATGCATCTGCGAACGCCACCTAGTTGTAATAGTATATTTCGTACCTAGGGCCGAAAATGAGGTTTTGCCGGCTCGAGATAGTTTTTAAGTTCGAGACGAAGTCGAGAACTTAAATCGATCGAGAGCTGCAAAACCATTTCGGTCCGTGGTACGAACGCTATTTTTCACCATACTATACCCTATTACCACTATTCACCACCAATGCACACTAATAGTCAACACAACTACAACTTTAATGTTATATGTGAAGAAATAATTTGAGGAATCAGCAAAAATAAAAATAAATTGTTGCTAGGCAACGGTGACAATGTCATTGCAATGCTATGGATTTTGATTGTGTATTTAAATGCATTCATGTTTTAAGTAAGTAAGCGGACAGCTGATTTTGCGGCCCCGGCCTGTAAAAACCTGCTCGGTCCCCAAATTACGATGACAGCTGGCATGGCCAGCAAAACGTAACTTTCAGCCACCAATTAACGTATGTAATACAGCCAAAAACATCATAGTGTGGTGAAATAGTATATTTCGTACCTAGGGCCGAAAAAGAGGTTTTGCCGGCTCGAGATAGTTTTTTAAGTTCGAGACGTAGTCGAGAACATAAATCGATCGAGAGCTGCAAAACCATTTCGGTCCGTGGTACGAACGCTATTATTCACC